TCTCTTGAAGCGAATTTTTCACCAGCAAAATTGTTCGCCATGGACAGGAACAGATGGTAATCACTTGGTGCCAGGTCCGGACTATAAGGTGGATGCATAAGAACCTCCCAACCAAGCTCCCGGAGCTTCTGGCGAGTCACTATCGATGTGTGTGGCCTGGCGTTGTCCTGATGGAACACAATTCCTCTCCTATTGGCCAAAGCTGGCCGCTTCTGGGCGATTGCTTCCTTCAGACGGTCCAATTGTTGACAGTACAGTTCTGAGTTAAGAGTTTTGCCGTAGGGGAGCAGCTCATAGTAGATAATTCCCTGCCAATCCCACCAAACACACAGCAAAACCTTCCTGGCCGTCAATCCTGGCTTGGCCACCGTTTCCGCCAGCTCACCGCGATTCGACCACGACCGTTTTCGCTTGACGTTGTCGTAAGTGATCCACTTTTCATCACCAATGACCAACTGCTTCAGAAATGGGTCGATTTTGTTGCTATTCAGCAGCGATTCGCAGATGGAAATTCGATCCATGAGGTTTTTTTGCGTTAACTCGTGTGGCACCCATACATCGAGCTTCTTTTTGTATCCAGCCTTATTCAAATGGTTCCAACTGGTTTTTTGTGCAATCTTTAGCTCTTGGGCAATCGAAACAGTGCTTACATGACGGTCGGCCTCGACAATGTCCATGATTTTATCGATATTTTCGACAATTGGCCTTCCAGTGCGTGGTGCATCTTTGACATCGAAATTACCGGAACGGAATCGACGAAACCAAAATTGCGCGTGATTGGTTGTTACAGTATCAGGACCATAAATACTATTCACATTTTCAGCCGCCTGGCTTGCGTTTTCGCCTTTATCGAAGAAAAACTGTAAAATATAGCATATTTTCTCTTTGCTAGTGTCCATTTTTGACGCATGCTCAAACAAAACTGAGTCAACTAATCACAAAACTGTCAGAAAAGTTTTTTTAGTACGAAATCTCATCTTTCTAACGCCAACTAGTGAAACCCGATCGAACTTATACAACGCGAGATACAGATAACTAAAGCCATCTATTGGAAAAATAATGGATTTCTTTTTACTACTGTTACGTCCTGGAGGAGGAGCGTAACTTGGCGCTTGCTCTCGCAAGCTCCGACGTACTTGCAAGTCAGCGGTACAGATCAAGGATCGGAGCGATCCCTTTATCTGACGCGGACGTACGTCGGTGGTCCTTGATTTAGGTCAAGGAACTGAATCCTTTTACCTGGGATAGGACCGTGAGCGACGGTTGAAGGAAGGGAGAATCTTTGTTGAGAATAATTAGTCGGTAATCGTGATTGGCTTACAATTACAAACAACTTGTTTTATTAGTAATTAGAAGGATGTTCACAATGAAATAAAATTTACAAGCTTTTATAAAGTGTACGTATACATAGATGTATAAACAATCGCCGTCTGAGCAAAATTCCGTGTTCGTTATGTCCGACTGTGATCGAAAGGTTTGGCCACTGGGATCTGATTTAACAATTAAGGAGGAATGCCAAGGGGGATAGGAAATGGAAGTAAAACGAAAGGAAAAGAAAAGAGAGAGAAGAATAGATAAAAAAATGAAACGAAAGAGGTCACTCAGGTAAAATAAAATATAAATAACTTACTGCTGGACTTCTCTGATCTTAGTAGACAATGAAAGGTGTGGTTGCTGCGTCTCTGTGAGAATAGATGCCTCAAGTTCTGCGCCAAGGACAGGCAGCTGGTTTCGGCAGGATCGCTCTCAATGGCCCAAGAAGGCACAAGATCGTTGCACCGAATAATTAACAAGTGAAGAATACTGGTTGGTCTAAGCCACAAGTTGGCTTGATTGTTAAGAAAACCCTGAAGGGGTGCTGGAGAGAAGCGTCTGTCCTGGGTGCTGGATCGGCGAGAAGTGTCTGAGGCTTTTGACTTTTCTCAAAAAGTCAGCTCGGTTGAGAGAGTGGGGTTTTTTAGGGGAATGTTCCAGATGATTATTTTATAGGAGATAAGATGCATGTGGCAATAAGAGGATTTCGAAAGACTTTTGTAAATAAAAAAAAAATTGTGGCAGCTATCTTAAGAAGTAAATATCGATATTTATAAGAACGATGTCGTGATGCTGGTATCAGTGATTAAGTTTGTAGGAAATCAAATAGGGATTAGGTTAAGATTATTAGTATTTCGGAGTATCAAAATTTCCAGAAATTGTTCGTGTGATAACTTGTGAGGTAGGTCGTGTGGTAACATGCCTGAGTGCATTTAGACGTGTAATCAGTAAAAATAAATTCGATTTCTCTTATTTATACATATATTATGTATATAACATAAGTTTTTACAAGTAAAACTTATCAAATTATTTTTCTTTTAAGATATATATGTACATAAGCTTTTAAAAGTAAAAATTATATCGTGTTATAAAAATTTAACACGTTTATTAATAGTGTCCAATATTAAAAAAATATATATTTTTAAAAGTTATTATTATTCAAGAAAAACCCAGCTACAAAAAATGTCCATAACATGAATTTTCACAAGTAAAATTTATCATTATTTATTAGAACACTGAGTTATATGGTTATTTTACTTGTTATTATAACAAATTAATTATTATAACAATGCAATAAAAAATATTTAATACAAAAAATCTTGGCGCGGCTGCACCAAAAACTATATCGCACTAAAACTTGTTTAATATATACATGACAGCATTTTTATTATAATAAAATGTACTTGTAAATGCTCTCTATACATATACGGTATAATGTTTTATTTAAGTTTATATAGTATTATAATAAATTATAAACCTTCACTATAGAATATACATATCGAATGTGTATATATTCTACATATTTTGATATTTTTTTATTCAAAGATGTTATTCTTATTATGTCATACGAAATGTCAATGATATCTAATTTGACTTTTATGTACATAAATCTTCAATATAGTTTTTGGTGCAGCCGCGCCAAGATTTTTTGTATTAAATATTTTTTATTGCATTGTTATAATAATTAATTTGTTATAATAACAAGTAAAATAACCATATAACTTAGTGTTCTAATAAATAATGATAAATTTTACTTGTGAAAATTTATGTTATGGACATTTTTTGTAGCTGGGGTTTTCTTGAATAACAATAAAAAAGATATTTTTTAAATATTGGACTTTAAAAAGATATTTTTTTTAAATATTGGACACTATTAATTTATTAATAATATTAATTAAACGTGATAAATTTTTATAACACGATATAATTTTTTCCTTTAAAATAAATGAGTACATGAAGTTTCCGCTTTTCGTTTGTTAGTTTCGTTAGTTTGGTTTTATTTTATCGTTCGTTTTTTGTTTATTGGTAAATATGACTTGGATCTTAAAAGCATATACGAAATGAGCAACTTATACAGAGAAAAATGAAGGGTAATCTATACGACATAACTCTGATAGTCAGCTTGACATTTTTGAGCTGAAACTATATTTGTGAGTGAAGTTTATCATTCAGAGCGTCAAGCTTACTATTTCAGAAGAATATCTTATAGATCACCATTTAGATAGTCAATCGTCCCTTCATTTTTCGCCGCATAAAAAGCTATAGGTCACCAGGTTTCACGAAAATAGGTTGATTTCTTGATTTTCGTGTCCATCATATTGGATTCGTCATTTTGAATTTCTGTATTCTTTTAATTTCATATTTTGCATCTGAGAAAGCTTCCAAATGTATAAAATTATAACAGATACCAATCTATTCATTTATAGTGCACTTCTAGATGTCAATAACAATACTAACTATACCTACTTGGAATTTGACAAAACATGTTATCATTAAAACTGAGCTAAAAGCAGACTAAACCGAATCTATACATACAATCTATATACCATTTTTTAGAAGAAGAATTCACCTTTACAGTGGTGCAAAGAAAACGAAAATATCTCCTTTTTTGATTAAGTTATGGATTCTTAAATGCGTTTCTGCACTGAGAAAAATATCCGAAATATCCAATTGTTAATTTCGTTATCCGATCAAATATCCGATGTATTTAATCGGACATTTGATCGGATAACAAAATTAACAAGCGGATATTTCGGATATTTTTCTCCGTGTGGTAACTATAGTTACTAATAGGCGTTAAAGAGTTAATTAGACGTCAATTGGAAGTCAAATGTCTACGTTGCAATCGAATGTCCTTTGTATGCGACATACATTTACATTAAATGTTATACAACAAAAGATGTCACTGCGTCAGGACTGACAATTGATTAATAACGTTGAAAAATGTGCGAAACATTGTATGCAAAGTTCAAACATTAATACCTTTCTGTCCGATATTCAATCAACCGACAGGAAAGACAGTCTCGAATGACTCAACCGGAGGGATTCAACCGACAATTTCGATTCTACGAGCAACCATCGCACGATGTTACCGCCACACTCTGCGAAAGGATGTGCTCAGAATGTGGACATTCGCGTACGATAACTAATGCCCAATATCTAGCGAAGTAACAGAACTGATAGAAGAAGGAAAAGCTGGTCATAAAAACATTATCGCCTGTCCCGATACGTTATCCAATTTTTTACTGCTGATATTGATGGCGCGGGGAATTGCAGAAAGCTGCACAAAAGATGTGTCCCACCACGTATGATGGTCCCCACTACTTGGTTAGGTTGGATGTGAATGTGACTAACTCTGACAGGTCCGTACTTAGATGCAACGTCTCGCGAACCGCGTAGATCTCTTCCGTTTTATTCTCTCTTATCAAAAATTCTGATTCTCGTGCAAAATGAGTCAGCCGCAGATGCAAAGAAATTAATAATTTTTTTTATTGTTATATGTGAGTTGTATATTTTGCTAAGTTTCCGTAAATAATCTCTTAAGATTTCCTATTTCTTTCCTATGACAGACTAAATGATATTGCGTATCTCGATTAAATATATACGCTACTTATCGTAATGTCGTTATATAATAACGTTCACCATCGCGCATACATAAAAACTCATAGTCACTGTTTAGCATTCAGTGACTCTATGAGCATCTGGTATTGTTGAGAAAGGCACGGAGAAGATGTGCATTTTGAAGTACTAACAAAAGGAAAGACTTACTCTTTTAATTTCATTACTTAATGCTATATTACTTGCCTATCAAGTGATTTTAGAGTTCTTCGCGGCATTGTGACGAGAATTCTCGAGAAGGTATCTGTTGTTCTGGAGGGGATATAGATAAGAACTTGTTTTATACGTCAGCTTGGACCGTAGTTAGTCTGGTGATAAAAAGCAATGGATCGCAGTCGACCTTAGTCATTCGACGAAAAGACTCGAGGACAGCAGGTCTATAGTTCGTCACTGAAATTGGAAAATTTATCTTTCGTATTCGTCGAGAGAGCTGTTAAGATTCTTGATTATATCGATAATAATCAGCAATTATGTGTAAATTAAGTTCAGGAGCATTGGATGTAAGTTTTTCGAAGGTGTATTGATCGATCGTGCCTTAACACTTAATAACCAAATTTTCCTTTGCAGCAAATCATGAATGGCCGAAACATCAAGGAACCGATACTTCAATTATTGGTAAATATATATGACGGTTAATTACGTCAAATAGTTATTATAATTCTCAGTTTTCCGCTTTGAAAAAACTGCAAGATGAAGTGACAAGTGAGCTATGAGATAGTGAGTGTGAGATAGTGTGTGAGCTGATATGTGAGATAGCGTGTAAGAAGAAATAACGAGCAATTGCTAAGAGAAGAAATCATCAATTTGTTAATTATAACTTTGCAGAGTTACAGAAAGCTGCCCGGTGCTACCTTCGATTGGTACAGATTGGTCGTGTCCGATGGATTGAGAATAAATCAATACGCGATGTTATCCACTGAGTTAAATCGCTTATTCGAAAACGGTACTTTGACAAATTATGCAGTTTTCAAAGTATCAGATTATAAAGTGAGCTCGACAATCGACGAAAAGTGTGTATTTATTTTCTTATATATTTTACAAATTATACACCTTTTTACCTGCACGCGCGCGCGCACGCGCGCATGTGTGTGTGTGTGTGTATATATGTTTCGTCACATACAACGCATAAAGTCTCATTCAAATTATTAAACGGTTAAAAAGTTAAAACGAGCAAATAATTTCGTGTGCATAAAGTTAAGCTCTCTATTCAATATTTGTTAGGCAAACGTTAATAATAATGGGTGTACAAGTGTTAATTCCTGGCAATGATGTTCCGGATATAATAGGAAGTCCGACTGCAAAAGTTACAAACAAATTCGAGCCTGAAACGAGCAAGCCTCACTCATCCACTGTTGTGCATCACGAGGGTAACAAACTTTTACAATCTCTTTATTTCAATTAGTTTTTATTAGAATTAGTCCACTTTGTACGTATGATTATTGCGATAATTGTAATATTATGTAATTATAATAAGTATTATGTCTGTGCGGTAATATGTATGATATTAATTTAATTAATTATAATATAATTATTATACAATATGTATATGTTATAATATAGTATATATTATATTTTGTATCATGCTGAATGAATAATCTATTTCCGCCAGTAGTGGAAGATAACATGCAACCGAGTACTATTTCGAGAGATACAAATAATTCCTCTCGTCAAGAATTCGGAGTTCCGATAATAACATTAAGCCCTAAACACAGGTGAGAGTTTGTGTAGAACGTATTTATATAAACAAAGTCTGAAAAAAGCAACAAAAAGGTAACTCGCGTTCAGAACTGTTTGATACAAGATCTAATACGAAAATGCTGCGGCGACTTGTTGAATTCAAATGGTTCAAGCTAGCAAATCATGAATAATGTAATAATAAAGATTAAAAACTTTAAATATATCGATTCTTCAATGATGATCATCGATATTATTCAGGCAGGCAATCAAAGCTCGCGTGACCAATAAATCTTCGATTAAAGAATGGAAAAACAAGAAAGGCAAACTGTTCTCCATGCACCTGCATGACAATAGCGACGAAATTAAGTGCGTTGCATTCAACGATAAATTATACAACAATGTAGAGGTACGTACATTATTGCTGTATCGTTCGGTTATCACATTGATGTCATATTCTGCAGAGGATCGAATTAACGACCTCGATTCTTTCATTTTTGTTCATGCAGAATAACAAGGTATACCATATCTCGAATTATGAGCTGAAAGATTCGGACCGACGGTACAACAAGTTGAAAAACCAATACGAAATAATAATCACCGACGATACGAGAATTAAAGAAAGTCACGACGATGCGGACATTCCGTCAATACACTTCGACTTTTGTCCCATCAGTCAAGTGGAAAATAAGCAGATATATGATACGATCGGTATATAATAATGATAAATTATTACATCGCATTTGATTTGTTCTTAACTTACACGAGTGTCTATTGATCTGTCGATCGTAATATTACTATGTGTTTTACGTCTGTGACAGATGTCTTGGGCGTCGTTGTAAAGTCCAACCTGAAAACCTTTACAAAGCAAAGTAACGAAAATTTCAAAAGGGACATCGACATCGTTGACAACAGTCAACCAAGTGGTGCCAGGGTATGCAGTTGTTATTCGAATCATTTTTCAATAAAATACTTTTTAAAGCGTCAACGTTGCATGAGATTGTTGGCTTATTCGCACATTATAGATTCTATCATTTCGTTATCTTCAAAATAAACTGATCGATTTTTTTATATTCAAAATAAACTGATCGATTTTTTTATGCGTCAGATATGCGTTACACTTTGGGGACAGCAGGCACAAGAATTCGACTGTAACAATGGCACGATTTTAGCCATTAAGGGAGCACGTGTCGACGAGTTTAACGGAAAGAGATTGACCATCATAAATTCACCCGAGAGATCGACCATCATAAGAAAGGACCCGGATCTTCCGGAAGCACGCGTGTAATACAATCCAGAAAATGTCTAATGAATATCCTCGTATATATGAGCTGCTTCTGCTTAATAATTGGCACTACATTTCTTTTCGACTAATGTAGATTTTCCATACGACTTATTTCATTTTCGTTATATGTATAACTGACCTTTCAGATTACTCGAATGGTACAGAAGCTATTGGTCGAAATTCAATTGTACGTTCCGCACGATTCGGGAACTGACCGAAGCGACACTGGGCATTACGTCGAACTTTTTTAAGGTGATGGCGATCATTGATTCAATTCATATAGAGAATTGTATCTACAAGGCGTGCCCTAAAGATAATTGCAAGAAGAAGGTAAGTTGAGCGCAAGAAGGATGTGTACATGTTTCGTAAAATAGATATATTTTTGTTTCGCATCTTTGTTCGCGTGTATAATTATATAAACTGAAAATAAGACAAGCGTATAAATCGGAGAGAGAAAATTTAAAAAAAAGCTGGAGAGGAAAAAGATGTGCAAGCAAATTATTACGCATATTATCATGTGCAAATTATTATGCAAGTTATTGCATATCAGCAAATACTATCTAGGAAAATTTTCAGTTGACCGAACTAGCTTTCGAGAAATACAGATGCGATAGTTGCAAGAGGGATTACTTAAACTTTAAGTACTGCCTGCTGTTGAATGTACGTATTAATTTTCATCGTATCCTCCCAATTGTCTACATTAGCTGTCTGAATAATAAGTACGTTTGATTTGCTGTCGCAATCATTCCCAGATGATCATATCGGACATAACGGGCAATCATCGAGTTACCGCCTTTGATGAAGTGGCTGAGAAGATATTGGAGATATCGGCTCAGGAATTGGTCAGATTGAAGGAGAACGATAACAATGCCTATATACGGAAAATTGACGAGGCGGTACTGAAAAGATATACGTTTTACCTAAAGGGGATAGCGGAAGTTTTTCATGTAATTAATTTTATCATGCATCTTAACAGTTCAATAAGTTCATATGCGCAATTCTTGATATCCTTTATAAGCATCTGTTTTTTTTTCCTTTATTTTAAAACACTTACTTTGAGGAGTCAAATATAAATCAATCTACTTTTAATGATGTTTGCGTTATTTCAGGGCCAAAGAAGACCAAAGTATACTTGTATATCGATCGAGCCGTTAAATCATCATATTTATTTGATGTATTTTCTACAAAAAATTAATGAACTCTTACCGAACTAAATTTTGATCACATAAGACTCAACGTGTTTTGAGAAGGAAGATACGTTTGAAATTTTACACAGAAAGATCCCGATCGATGGAAGCTACAACTTTATTGAGCGATGATAAAAGTGCCAATTAAATATCGCTAGATATAGGAATAGACTCAAGTGATTTTTTTTATCATGATCGTTGCGACGATACATGAAGTCATATAAATAAATATAAAGACATACTTGCCACGGGATTGGTGTCACCTTGCTCAGTATAGATTCCAATCCGTGACAAGGATCATTTGTGCGGCGAGATAATAGCGAACGGAGAGAAGATGTCTAGGATATTCTTGAGAAAGGTAAAGAGAGGGAAATAGAGGATAGGATGGGAGGGGAGGGAAAAGGCAGTCTTAGGCTCATCCTCGCGTCACTTTCACTTGAACTCTTTGTGTCGCCGTGCAAAGATTTTCTAGACGGTGTAGAGCGCTCCTGCAACATTCCGATGAATGTACATATAATTCGCGCGTGTGTGATTGCTACGTAGTGATTCAAAATTTTTCTCCCGCACCATCAACTTTCTCTCGAAATGGTGCTCCGCTGGACTCTGCAATTTTACTTCCTACGATGCACACTGCTCGCTGTTGTCCGCACCGAAGAAGTTTTTGTAAGCGACAATTCCAGAGATCTCTCGATCGTCTCACCCCTCGTCCCATTTCTCTCAGCGATATGAATCCCCTCGTTTCTTGCAAGTCGTTGCACCGCGATAGCATTTCCTAAAAATCACGCGTGTAAATTTGTATCGCTCATATTTTACTGTGTCCTACAACTATTTTCCCGCAGACCGACCATGCATTTCATCATCTCGATTTCCGATAAAATCCGAACGAGTATCTGTCGACCGTGCTATTTACGACCGTTCATTCACGCAGAACACCACTCCGCCGGCCATCAGAACCAACTTCTCCTGCTTCAACCGGCCTATGGGATTTTACGCTGATGTCGAGGCCAATTGCAGAGTATATCACACTTGCGACGATCACGGGAACAAGTTCAGCTATCGGTGCCCCGAAGAAACAGCCTTCCGCCAGGACGCTCTGATATGCGACCACGCTTACCTCGTCGACTGTCAGGCTACCGTCCATCCGCCGAATCGATTTCCAACCGAGAACACCGGCAACAAGAACAACGCGGCACCTGCGTCAAGACCATCAGTCAGCCCCATCGACTCGCTCGACGATCATCGACTCTCCTTCTCGCGTTCCTTTCAGGTTGTCCAACGACCCGACAAATCCGTGCCTAATAGACTTCAATCCGGCTTCGTGTTTAGCGCCAGCCTGTTTCTGAGGGATCGCGATCGGACGCGGGATCGTGCCGCTCCGCGCACCGCCGACACCTCCTCCAGGAGGTGCAACGTCGATTCGAAGGACCGATTCGCGACAGCCTCGACCGTTCGAACGCTTACCGAGCGGTTCAACTCCTGGGACGTCCGTAATGATAAGTCGAACCGTGCGAGACCGGCGCAGTCTCTGTCGCTGTCGGAAACCCGCAGCTTCGCGCGTGACAAGAGTGCGACGGTGAACCTCCGACGTTCGTTCGAGCCAACCCCGAGTCCTTTGAGCTTCGGGAGAACGATAATGCCGGATAACGTTACTCAGCGCCCGGCTTTCCCACGTGAAAAGTCCATCTTCTTGAACGACGACCATAACTACCGTCCATATTCGGAGACGCTCAAGTCGATCCAAGCTAACGCCGTTCGGCCGATCGCCGACTCCACCACGGAGATCCCGGTGCACGCGCTGACGCTCTCTCTGAAGCCGTTGGTACCGAACGAGCTGGAGTACGATCCGTATTACCCCAAGCAACCGACGTCCACCGAGGCGTACTACACACCCAGTAATCGCAACGGGTTCAACGCGAACGTTCGTGTTCCTACCTCCAGCCAGGTACCGCCGGCAGCAATCTCGCATCTCAACCTTCCCTTCGAGATCCCGCCTGTCCTACCCGATCTAAACAGCCTCGAGGACTTGGTCGATCGTCGTAAGCTCTTCTATATCCCGCGTGTAAGTGCAAAGTCGATATAACGAGCCATTCTACTTGAAATCGCGTCGAAAGAGCGTCGATTCTCTTATCGACGCGCGCTGTAAAGGCGGAGAGTCTCACAGGTAAATATATAGAAAGGGTGACACACTTCACTGATTTTATATGTATTGAAATTGATATATATATATATATATCAATTTCAATATATTTTAATATATATATATATATATACACAGTACATAGTAAAACGGACATTTTGTAAGCTTGAATTTAAGTAAACTTAAGTCTTGCGCAGAGATCTTTGTCCATTTTTACAATGTCTCTATTTTAAGGCGAACGATTTTATCGACAATCTAATAAAATGTAAATTAATAAAAAAGAATTAAAGATATATATAAAACCGTGGAGTCGTATATATCTCAACAATTAACGAGGTCGTTTCCCATCTCGCTCTTTTGACAAATCACACCTAATTATCATTTCTACAATATATATATATATATATCAATTTCAAAAAATCAGTGAGATATCACCCTCTCTATATATTTACCATCTCAAGCCATCGATTTTGTTGATCAGTCGTGATCGATTTCAAAGCGTTACAAATTTACGTTTGGAACATAATTTACAGAACATCAATCAAATGCGTCTCTTTCAGTCTTTCAGTGGGCGGTGATCGATGTTGAGATATTGTTTGTTTCAATCCCGATCGAACGGTGTTCTGTAAACGGCGCTAACAGTCTGTCCATGATATGTTGGATATTGATCGAATGTCGGAGCGTATTGGTTAACCTGGTTATTAATCTGTCACATTTAACACGTAAGAACTCAAGGGCCTTTGTGAAACCTGAAAATAACAGCGGGTATTAACGAGTACTCAGTTATCTTGCCACTTCGAAAGCGACGATTCCTCACCACAGCACGTAGCTCTGATCAGCAACGAAATCTTTGACCTCTCCGATGAGCAACGACACTTCTCTATGAGATATTGAAGATACTCATTTTCCTCTCGGAGTTGTCGAATGTTTCGACACAACTCCTCCACTTGTGCTTGCTGCTGCGTAACTTCTTCTGTTATCCGATTACCCTCTTCATCCCTCTTCGAATAACGTACGGTGCTTTCCTCTTTTCTCAACCTCTGCATCTTTGTCTTCTTGACTTTCCGTCTATCATCGTCTACTTTTTCACTTCCGGATCCAATTGTCGTAAGCAATTCGCAACATGGACGGGACTAAAAAAATGTGATACAATTAACGTATCTCTCTCTATCGCTAGTTACTTCGTACTAAATCGTCTACGATAAATTCTTTGTTTTCTGTTTTGCATTTTGTTGCATCAAAGTTTAAAATATACGTCTCACAGTTACAAATCAATTGCACTCGCGCGTGACACAAGTATCCGCACTACCATTTTAGTAAATGTCTGCAATCTTGGCCGGGATATTTTTCGACACATCTGACAGGTGCATTTTGGGGAAGAAAATTGTCCTATGTACAATAACTTTGATTTCAAGTCTTCTCTGGTATCAACTGCTTCAACTTCTGAAGTGATCTTTTCCTTCTTTTGTGCATAAATGTCGATATTAGCGCTGCCGCTCTCCTCAGAAAGCGGAGGAATCCTTCTATGAGCGAAGAAACGATTGCTATTTTGCGTCGTTTCAATGGGAGAAGCAGTTCTACACGGGATTATCCTCAAATGCACATCGTCAGGGTTTCTCGACGTAATATCGCAACCTCGATTATGACCGCCAATTATCTTCCTGTCATCGAGAGTCGATTGTCCAGACGCCTTCAAAGAATGCTCCAGGTGAAGCGCGGTGCCGCAGAGCGCGCAAACTGAGCTGGATGTGGTCGTAATAGTTAGTCTTGATCCAGGATTATTTTGCTGATGGAAAAATTACTTAGTACTACTTCTTATCCTCCATTTCTCCCGATCGTAATTTTCACCTATTCCTTGCATCGTGCGAAGAAGTCGAGTAATTCTTTGGTAAATCAGACAACAAAACTACTTCTAGAATATTAGTTGTAAGAAAGTGTGATAAAGATACTGTGAAAAACACGAAGAAGCAGAGAAAAGTTTAAAGATGTGAATATGCAATTTTTAATAATGGATCAAGCGTTAATAGTTTTGCTAATTTCTGTGTCTTGAGTGTTTATTTTAATATATTAATTTAATAAACAAATATAAAAGTATTCTTAAAGAGATTTCTTCCCTAAAAGAAGATTCGTGGATTTTATCGTAATCTTTGGAGATGAGAAATGTGTAAGAAGCTTAAATACGACAAAGATATGCAATACAATTTGAAAAAAAAGTTTCATTACTTGATCATTCTTTTCATCTCGCCGTAACAGGCTACATTGCGTCGAAGATTCTAAGCTCGATTCTGAATTCTGTTGTTGTCCTTTTGCGACATTCGCGATTGATTGTAATCTCAGCGCGGCTTCTTTGATCGGTTGCAATAAATCACGCAGTACAGTAGCCTGTTAAGAACTCGTTATTTAGATCCGGTGTAGGATAAAGTGGTTGTGATTAGATTATAATTTCTCGGTATAAAATAAAATTTACAGCTTGACGGAAATGATCTACTTGTTGGTCACGATCATCGTCGTGCGTGAGCAAAGGATAAGGTTCTCTCAATCTTCTACAGATGCTGTACGCAGGGCAAGGAGACCTCTCAAATCGCGCAAACGTATCATCATCGACTGTTGAATTGGACAGAATGTTTCGTCTCGTGGGGATTGCGTTGGTAATGGGACAATACGTAGCGATACTTTCCGTGTCGCGCACGGCTTCCATCATTTAGAACCCTGAGCAAACTCGTGGATAGCGGTGACAGAAATAACGGTTCTCTTCCGCGGGTATCGGCAACGACCCCGATAAGGTCGAATCATATCTTCGCGTCATTTCAGATCATCATGTCGCCTGAAACTCGACAACGTCGTTTGTTCTTGACATTAGTGACAAATTTCGCGGCGCAGTTGTTCGTCCAATCGTTCGTTCTCAGGTTGTCAAAATTTTCTTAAATAATGGCTGATCTCCCGAAAAAAGCAGCAGCTGCCGTTGCCGCTGCGACTGCAGATGCCGATGTGACCGCGCGTACCGCGGACAAAATCGACACCGATAAAGCGAGCTACTGGCAGCAAATGTTGAAGAATTACAAGAAGAGGAACGCTTCGCTCGAGAAAAGACGCAACGCTCTCGAAGAGAGGGTCCGCTTCATGGAGTACACCCTGCCGTCTCTGCTGGTGGGTGCAGCCGCGTCTGCTACCCACGATGACAAACGAGAGACCTCTAAGGAGCCTTAAAACATCTCCCAGAACAAATCCGTTGCTCAAGAGCGAGACTGACGAGACTTTGGTCCTTCCGAGAAAATTGATCATGATGATCGAGAAACTGCCGATGCCTCTTCGTTATTATTGATTAATTTGGCTGAATTCTAACGATCTCTGCGGCATATCGCGATGAACGCGACAGATCGTTTATTGAGGTGAATTGTTCGGTTTGAAGATAATTTCACGGTAAGAGATCGGGAAAGCAGATTTATTTTCGAAATTGCGTTTTCTTGCAGAGTTACACGTGAAAATGCACGGAGAACGTCAATTCCGCGATACTAAAGGGATCTCTGAGTGAGGCAAACCGCAAATCGCGCTCTACAACACTGCAAACCTGAGTGTGTTTTGACACGTATAAGCTGAAGCTTTCTTCACGCGTTTCTTGTCGTCTGAAATCACGTCATTTGATGCATTTCGATATCACTTAACGCGTTTAAACGCGTTAAACGACGTGATTTCAGATGACAAAATAAGCGTAAAGGAAGCTTCAGCTTAACACGCGTCAAAATAACACACTCGGGTTTGCAGTGAAGGCACTACTGAATCGTTTGCGCCTGGAAAACTTCTATACAGTATAAATACAACAAGCACTTGAGAATATATATTTGAAATATACACTCCATCTCTAAGCGAACTGTGTATAAGAACACTAACTCTACCGTCATACAAGATCAAAGTACACGCGAACGCACTCTCACATTGTGTTCTTCACGGTGTCGAATAAACGATAAGACTAGAGACGCATTTCTTATATTACATATATACTAAAATTTAAATCGTATACATAATGAAACGTTAAATGCGAAAGCGCACACGCACACGCATGTTTCGAGAAAGGTAAAGACACGCCAGAGCCACCTTTCAGTTCAGCCCGTTCCGTTTCGTTTCTCGAAGGGAGCTGTTCTCTCCCCTCGAGGGATTCGCAGGATTATTCTACAATTTGGTTCGTCGGTTCGCGATTCGATTTCCTCGATTCGGTGTATACTATTCTGTCGTCAATCTTACGTCCAATCGACGTGTGTGCGAGGGATCTGAAAAGTACCTGAAGGAAAGTCTACTGCAACGAGCAAACCGTTTCACGGCTAGCGTTCGCGACTCGCCTTGTCGCACACGTTAATTCCTTCGAATTCTTCTTCTCCGCGCGGTGTCATGAAGTGACAGCGGAAGTACAGCGGAATTTTGCTCGTTCGTGAAAGATACAGCGTGACATCTCCGATTCCGATTTACGAGTGAGACTACACGGACACGTCGTTGTCGGTCGCACGATGCACGTCGTCGAACGTCGCGACGATTTGAAACGTACGACGGCGTATCCTTCCAAATTCGTCCGCGCTCAAGCGACCTGTTCCGCTTGCCATTTGAAATTCAAATTGCATCCGGATGCGTATTTAAATTTTAACACGGCAGAAAGATCCCACAGACACACGTAGACGCGCGCGGAGAGATCCGACACATCGCGCGCGACGCAAGGACGTGTCCGCTTAGCGCTTCGAACTCGCTCGCTCCTACGGCCGCTTTATCACAAATAATTCGCCGAATGATGAGTGAGAAAGGACAATGCTTGCATAATAACGCTTTAGTTTTACACTCGCGTGTGCGGGAAGGATGTTTAATCTACGGCTTATTTGGCACTCGATTTCACAGCTTGTACGCAAAAATTGGTCGCGACTTGCAAGGAGCGCTTCGCGCGGCTGTCCTTCGCCGATTCTAACGATACGCACCGACGTAGTGGAGCGACGTTGTGAGAGTAAGACTTGTGTCTTTCGAGTCCTGTGGTTTCTCGCGCGCTTGGAGATCTCCAGGATCGCGAAGATTTCGGAAGGTCACGTGCTACCGTTACGACGATGATGAAAATTAGAATCGGCGAGGGACACTCGCGTGTTACGTTTCCTTGTTAGAGAGGTGAAACACATCAACCGGGGTTCACTAGTTCGGGGTGGCACTCCTCGATCCGCAGGCGCCCTCGTTTTATTCGTAGGACGTACCATTTCTGATCGTCACTTGGGCACGCCAAGCAGCGCCAGCCGTATTGTCCTGGAACAAGGAAAGACGAACGACGGTGACTGACATGCCGAGAGAACTTGAACTGATTTATGACAGGGCCGAAAAGAACAGATGAAGCGCTGTCAGAAAAAAAACTGTCTGGCTAAAAGCCGTTCATTTCTCTTCTCCTTCGTCGCTAATCTGTCTTCGGCTAATTGTCCATTAGTAGCGAATATGATAAGCAGTCGATTATCGGGAACAAGCATTGTGTTGCGGCTGAATCACCTCGCTCCCACGGTATTCCATCTCGCGAGGATTACTCCTGGCGTGAAGGAAGTCGATTACGGCGGCTTGCTGCTTATTAATATTAATGGAAATATTTAGTAACGTTACCTCGTACGTGCCGCGGGTTCATCGACCCTTCCATGGAACTTGTGGGTGGATGGACGAAGTCTGCGACGACGAGAGACGATGAACTTTCTCGCCTTCACCTCCAGCGAAAGTAGATCACCTGCGGCAAAGAACATATGCACACAATGAAGACCGGACAACATCGCGAGGCAAAACGATACGATAGTAGTCGCGTCACGTTCTTAACCCTTTCGCTATTGGAGATTCCTCGAGTGAGAGCAAAGCGATGTTGTTCCTTTTTTCTCTTTTTCTCTTTTTTTTCTTTTTTCTTTCGTTTCAAACGGAAATAACGCCCGCTGTTAATGCTACTCCGACCGGGGGGATGTATCCGTGCTGTAGCGGACAATTTTGCGTGTGAGACAGATGAAGAAAATAGGAGAAGAGAAGCGTCATTATCAGGGTTAGGAAGCGGTCCGCGGGGAAGACGGACCCGCCTCCGAACCCGGATTATCACCATCACCCAAATGGCATTAAGTGCGTAACGCGTAATGTGATGCCGTGGATTACTACGCCGCGGGCGTAGAAGTGTGTGCTCCAATAAAGTGCTACTACAGTCCAGATAGGAGTATCTCGAATGTCTCGGTAGAGATATTCTCTAATGAAGAGACGCAAACACTCGCGGAGGAGGCTCCTCGAGAGGCGGTCTTCGAGCCGAATGGGATAGAAGAAACTCGTCGGTCGTCCGTCCCGTATACATACGCTCAAAGACACTAGGTAGATACGTGGTCGGTTAGCTTTCCTTCTCCTTCTCCTCCTCACCTCCTCATCACCATCCGCGCCTTCTTCTCCGCGACCTCGGTCTTCTTCTGTTCGCCGTTATTTTCTGGAAGCCGTCGCTCTCCGGAGAACACACTCTTTATTCCGCGCAATCCTCTATCTCACGAAGTGATTCCCAGCTTCTCCTCGAAATTACTACATATCAACTTGGACAGACAGACAGACAGACAGACAGACAGACAGACAGAGAGACAGACAGACAGACAGACAGACAGACAGACAGACTGACAGACTGACAGACTGACAGACTGACAGACTGACAGACTGACAGACTGACAGACAGACAGACAGACATACAGCAGCTTTCGCTTTTTTTACGTGAGCACCGAAAATTTGCCTCTGCGTGACGGTAAAACGGTATTACGGCGACGATGTTTGTTAAGGCGGTGTTGCAACCGAATCCCCCTAAATGTCCGTTTTCGTTTCTTCCCCTTCTTACTAGAGTCCAGGTTGGAAAACGATTCGACCTGGCGACCGTCGAGAAGCTAGACGCAAATTTCCTGATACAGGACCAACGGGTAACTTCCTCGTCCGAAAGAGACGTCACGGGTGAACCTGACGCTCGCCGTTCTCGCTGTTCTCGCGGAGCGTATCTTGCGTTCATTACTCTTAATCCGCCTTTGTCTAACCTTCTTTTCCGAGTCGCTTTCGGCAAAGTCGGTAACGACCGGTTCCACGGACTCGCCAGGTCCCACCTCGTCTTCCTTCTTCTTTTCCTCCAAGGATACCAACTGCAGGGGATACAAAAGAGTACCTTGTACAAAGATGAATAGAGAGAGAAATCGACTCCGCTCATTGGCCTCAGTCATTGGCCACGAAACGACGGCAAAAGGTTACATAGGTCCATGGAATTGTTGCTACGCACCGTGACGTTACATTCCATCGACGAACTGACGCGCCCATTAGCGTCTTCCGCATCAGCAACCCGGTGTTGGCACCGAGAACACTCCGCGATCGCGTTATCCGCGCACATCTCCACGGTTTGAGCAGCATGCGTGCAGCTCGCAGCCTTCTCCGAGTTCCTGGTGTCTTCTAAAGCCTCGTCCTTACTGTCCTCCATGAGTTTGCTTTGTTTCATGACGATTACCTCGCCTCTGCCTCCGCCAACGCTGATCTCGTCAAGGCTGGACCTGACGTTCCGCAGCTCGTTCTCCAGCCAGTATATTCTCTCGGTGAGTCTATAGTTCTCATCCAGGAACTCCTCCTCCCGCTGCTTCGACAGCCGCTTCTCCTGCTCGCGGCTCTTCTCGGCCTCCTCGTGCGCCTGTAGCCTCTCCTCGAGATCGCGGACGCGCTCCTGGTAAGCGGTCATCTGGACGATCGAGTCCATCGTCGACATGTCCAGGCAAATCTTGGACGAGTCGATCGGGTGGAAGACCGGCGTGGTGTTCTTAGCCGCCCGCTCTTGGATCCAAGCTCTCAGTTCCTGGAGACGCTGCACCTCCTGCAGGAGCTCGCCGGACGGCGCCTGGGTCTGAGTGCCGCGGCTGGCGAACTCGACCTCGGCCTCCTCCTCATCCTCGTACTCCTCGAAGATGCCGCTCTCCTGCAGGGTGAGCGGCGGTTTGCGCGGCAGCACGGGCGACGCTGACTTTGCCGGGCTCATCACCGTAGCGTTGTTCGTGTACGGTATCACCGTCGCCACCGCGCGGCTTCTCTGCTTGTTCAAGTGATCCTGAAATATCGTCATGTTCAACGGACAGGAAAGTCAAAACGGGAACAACACACACAAGATGGAAATGAAGCGAGAATAGACATGAGACTAGAGTTTCCAATCCCAGATACAATTTAGGATCCCGGGATTTCGGGATTTTTTGGATTCCATCCCAGGATCCCGGAACTATATATATGTTTAAAGAAAGAAACAAGGAATATTTACAAATAATAGAATTATTTTATTTATAGAACGTTCATAGACTTTTATGAACATTATGACAAACAAAAAATAAAATTTCAGTAAAAATGAAAGCAACTTACATTAATGATTGCACAAAAACTGTTAAAATTAGAAATTAAAGTTTTTGTAATAAAAATAAAAATTATTATTTTTTCTTTTTCACATTTGAAAAAGCGACTTTAAAAATAATAAAACATAAATTTTGTTAAGAAATATCTGAAACAAAAGCGATTGTTAAAAATATTAAAATAAAAAGAATTCAAAATAAAAATGAAAATAAAAATAACTTTCATTCCTTCTTTTTATTTTGAAAAAACGATCTCAGAAATAATAATGCATCTAATGTGATATCTCCAAGTTGACTTCTGATCTTACAAGGGGAGGACGCATTGACCGGGAAACGGTTTGGAACGAAACTTACGGAGTTAATAGTACTTGACTACTAATAACTCATGGTAATAGCATACGACGCAATATCTCTTTGTTTTCGAGAAAAAACGGTCTAAAGAAAAGAGCCAACAAAGTGTACGAGTTAGTAAGAAGGGTATTCAACGAAGCGGCGTAGCGCAGCAGCAGCTGGATTCTATAACTCGTTATTGGATTTAACGACACTTTCGTTATCGTTGCACAGTCTTTCTACGGTATACAAAAGCTGCGCAACGATAACGAAAGTGTCGTTAACTCCAATAACGAGTTACAGAATCCAGCTGCAGCGAAGGTAACGGACTACCGAGCTGACGGCTGAGGTTCGATCCCTGCTATATGGTTTTTTTTATTCTGTAAGCATAAAAATGAAACAGAAAACATTAATAAATAATAAAATTGCGTTTCTTAAATATATTATTAATGATTTAAATTGCAAAAGAACCGTAAAACTTATCTATAAAATATATAGTGTATGAGAAAATTTTTATATAATAATTGCAATGGAAATAAGAATAAAAATATTGTTATGAAATATATGCTATTAACCCTTTGCGGTCGATGCCGCCACAGTGGCGGCATTCGCAAGTCGTCGTAGAAGTCGGTACCGCCAGGCTGGCATTCATGATCGTCTGACGTGAGGCACGGCAAACGAGGCTAGCGATGAATGAAAGAAAACTATCCTCCCGATGCTAGATTCAAATGTTTAGATCAACTTACAGATATCCATGTTTATCGATCTCTTCGAAATTAGTCAACCGCAAAGGGTTAAACTAATATGAAATAATTTTTCGTAATCTTATATCGTATATATAAAATATTTGTTTCTGTTACAACTCTCTATGTTGTGTTGAAGTCGTGTTGTGTTGAAGTTGTGTTGTGTTGAAGTTGTGTTGTGTCTTTATCTCTTCTGGCAATCTCCCTCCAAAAACTTCCTTTGTGTCATTCTAAACGATGGTTAAGAATGACGAAATGATTCGAGCATTGGAACAGTCGTCAGTAAAGCAAACAGCAGTGTGCGTTTACTAGTGATACAGAGCAGTTCGGTGATCATATTTAAATTACATATATCATAACAATGTCAGAGAATCCTTTAACAAGCAAAATAGTTGATGTAGAATCGCTAGAAGAAAAATCTTTTGAAAATGAAGATTTTAAAGATGAATTTACTAATGCTCTCGTATATACGAATTCTATTTATGAGAGTAATAAATTATTATCGAAAAATCCTCCAGCAAAAATATAATACATATATTTTTACTCCTATTTCCATTGCAATTATTATATAAAAATTTTCTCATACACTATATATTTTATAGATAAGATTTACAGTTTTTTTGCAATTTAAATCATTAATAATATATTTAACAAACACTAATATATTTAAGAAACGCAGTTTTATTATTTATTAATGTTTTCTGTTTCATTTTTATGCTTACAGAATAAAAAAAGAACCCCTATAGCAGAGATCGAACCTCAGCCGTCAGTTCGGTAGTCCGTTACTTTCGCTGCTGCGCTACGCCGCTTCGTTGAATACCCTTCTTACTAACTCGTACACTTTGTTGGCTCTTTTCTTTAGACCGTTTTTCTCGAAAACAAAGAGGTATTGCGTCGTATGCTATAATCATGAGTTATTAGTAGTCAAGTACTATTAACTCCGTAAGTTTCGTTCCAAACCGTTTCCCGGTTGATGCGTCCTCCCCTTGTTAGTTCCAATATACCCAGCTGCTGAAAACGCTCGTGCAGATTCTACGCTTGTTGGAGGTATTGACATTAAATATTGGTACGCTAATTCAAAGTGGTATCCTCTTTTCCCAACTGACTCAAAAAGAAACATCTTTTTCTTTAAAATTGACATCAAATCACTTGGTTTTTGAGGTCCTGGTTCTATTACTTGCATACTTTTTCTAATTTCTCGCTGAAACTTTTCACAGTAGTGTCGTAGCGCGTCAGACTTGCAACCTCGAGAATCCCGGATTCGAGTCTGTGTTGTGCCAGTTTATCCGCGAAATTTAAAATAGAAAACTCCCGTAATATTTAAAACAAATAAAAATAATACATGGAATTAAATTTAAAATATAAATGCTCTAAAATATCAGGAAGGCTCACTTTGTTCGCGTGAGCAGGTTCCGGAGAGACGACACCGCTGTCTATCGCGTGGTCCGGGCTGTCCCTGCGCGCGGGCGACTCCTCCAGTTCCAGCAGCCGGAACTCCAGAAGTTCATTTTGCTCCCGTATTTCCGAAAGCTCCACCAGAAGCGCCGCCTCCCGCTCCTCCACGGTCCGGAGCTTGTCCCGCAGTTCGCTCAGCTCCTTGTCACGATCGGCGCATTTCTGTTGGGTACAACACGGATCTTGCTTACCCGACGCTCCTTGAGGACTCTGGGACCCTTCACATCTACGTCAATTATCTTGAATAATAAGACAGAGGAGAATATTCTCCTCGAGCTCGAATTTTCATCAGAGTATCATTTATCCTGGACAAACGTCCAGGATAAACGTCCTTCGTTTTCGCGAGGCCTTAGAATTCAAGATAATGACTCTCTCTAATGGGAACTCTTGAAGAAGACGCAACACTACCTCCTGCAGGAGTGCCTTCTCTAGGTCGCAAACTTGTATCTTGGCGCGCGACAGCTCCCATTGCTCTTTGAGGAGCTTCGATTGTAAATCTTCAATCTCCACGAGGACGGCCTCGTACGCTTCTCTAGTGACACCATTACCCTGCCACTGGCCGCAGCCACCCGGCTGGGGCGACATCGAAGACGGGGCGCTCGATAAAGCGCTGTCATTCTCCTCGTGGTCCTCCTCGTCGTCTACCTCGACCACCGGCTCCAGCTCGAGCCACTGTTTGTAATACTCCTCCTTTTTCCTCTTGTTCGACAGTTGCTCCAACTTTCTTTCTCTCTCCTTATGCAAAAGGAAAGCATCGGCTTTAACGTTTTCTAAATTTCGTTTCGGCCGCCGGCCGCGCCGTCTACTTTGCAGAACGGGTGCGAGCTGATGTTACGGTAAAGACGCTAAACTCTAACCCCTGGTCTACATTCAGTGATTTAAGCCTTAAGCTCTATGTTTTAAGCTGTAAACCGTGACGTACCTCCGTTTTAAAGCGTTTCTCGCGCTGCTCTAACAAGTAAACCTCGGGAAACGTCAGACGCTGATTTGTTTCCAATTATTTATAGTTATTTTTTATGTCAAAATATGAAGAAATCTGTTATTATTTTTAACTTAAATTAATTTTTTAATTTTTTCGAAATTTTTGAAGTTTTACACAAGTGCACTATTTTATACATATTAATCTTCTGAAAAAATGTTTTTCTTCTTGTTCTTTTTTTTGTTCATTTCTTGTTCATTTTTTATCAGATTTTGACGTTAAAACGAGCTTGCTGGATAATGAGCCGAAAGATTACCCAACGTCGAATGTAGCGTAAAACTGAACACTTTTTCAACAATGACGTCAGCCATATTAATTCTGCCATTTTGAATTTGACAAAATGGTTTGATTTATAATGGGCGACATGTGTGTGCAAGTTTCAACAAATCAGATATATATATATTTTTAAGAAATACTATTTTAAATATGTATAAAATAGTGTACTTGTGCAAAACTTTAGAAATTTCGAAAAAATTGAAAAAATTAATTTAAGCTGAAAATGATAACAGATTTCTTTATATTTTGACATTAAAAATAACTATAAAAAATTGGAAACAAATCGGCGTCTGACGTTCCCCAAGGTTTATTTGTAAGCCTCAATCCCTAAGCTTTAAGCGAGTTGGCCAACTCCTATCTTTTAAGACGTAGGGCTTGAGGCTAAGAGCAATATAATTTCTGTCAGCCAATAAAAGAAGTAAGTGGACATTTTAAAATTACTTCGCGATACAGGTAACTTATAGTTTATTATATATATATTTATAAACATATACAATAAATTTTCAGTTTATTATTAATTTATTAGTTTTATTTATTAGTTTATTATTAATAGTAAATATCTGAACGTGGTTACGATGTCAAACATTGACGAAGAACAAAATATTGAAACTGACGATGAACTTTTAATTTCTATTATGCAAATAAATTCGTGTTTATATGCAAAGAATGACAAACATTTTTTTATCTTCTGTAGCACCGACACCGACTGTAGCACCGACAATTGTCACTACGAAATATAACCCCTATTTGTTATGGCTTAAAACATATTATAGAAGGGCTTGTCTTAAAAGTATTTATTAAGACTTAAAACTTGAAGCAACGTTAAAACTTAAAACAAGGACTAAGACTCAAATCACCGAATGTAGACCAGGAGTAAGACGTAGCTGTGGTGTTACATTGAAAACTGCTAACTGAATACTGCAACAAGGACATCGCGCACCGAGCGCGATTTCACCTGCAGCGAACTCGCGTTGGAAGAATATTCAGCCGCATGATCGGCGAGAAACCGAAAGCGTGCTTTCCCGATTTCCCAACTCGCGCCTGTTCCATCCGAGGAAAAGTTCATTACCTTAACCGCCTGTCTAAGTATCTCGATGATTTCCTGCTGCTCAAGCGCGAGTTCACGGAGCCGCTCGACCTCGATTTCGTTCATGGCTCTACCGGATTCTACTTCGCGGACACATGACCCCACCTTAAAAACGATACTTAATCTTGGCCTTCTTCGTTGTACGTCTTTATCTCGCGACAATGTACGTATGTGTGTGTGTATGTGTGCGCGTGTGTTCCTCCTTATTACATAAGGAACGACATTTGTTTGAATTTTTCATTAGAACGGTATCAAAGCGTGTGGAAATCTTGGCAGAGCCGGTCGAGGGCGTCTCTTGGAGACGTCATCAGCGCAGCGCGCCAATCGCAAAAGCAAGACCGCTCGTAACGCTGGGCAACGGGTAAGTACGTACCGTATGAACATCGTCTGCGAGGATCTTCCTCTTTATACGTGACGACGAGCGTATCGGTTGGTTCCTCTCGTTCTCCCGTAACTTCCACATCTACAGCAACAGCGAAATGACGAATCGATTAATCCTTAACGGGCCACCAACGCGACCACCGCTATTCCGCTCATCAACGATCGTAAAGCGCAATGTATCTCTGATTTTTTCTCGGCGCGGAAAAATTTGGCGCGGATGGTCGGCCTTTTTTGCGCGAGAACGCAAGAATGAAATTCGGATTAAAAGAAAAACCCGTCGGAGCCCGGCGCGGCGGGGGGCGGGGGACAGGGAAGAGGGGGAATGAGGGATAAAACGGTGTCGCGCGGCGGAAAGTGGCACATCCGAGGCAACTTTTGACGAAGGAAAAGCTTGTGGTCGCCCGACTGAACGGCAGTTAGATGCACAGGGAAAGTGCGAGCAATCGCACTTGGAGATAGCGCGGCTCTTCCTTCTTCCACTCGCGTTCTTCTGCTGAATTGAACCGCACACGCTTGTCAGCGACGGCGAGGTGCGAAAAGGAAGGATAAAAATCTAGCGAACGTCACGTTCTGCCGAGCGAGCGGTTCGAACGGATGTAATGGTCGGCAGGTTCGACTGGCGTGAAAGTGATCGGCGTGCGAGATCTTTTGACAACGGCGTGTGTATTTGCGCTTCCGTATGTCCAGGCGCATTATCTCGCGAGGCGAGGTGAACGCCTAGCTCTCGCGCAGCGACTCGAAAGTGCTAGGAGTAACCGCGAAAGAGAACGCTTCGTTTTGAAAACGTTGCCGGCCGCGTCGAAGACTCATGACCGATTTCACTTCATCGAGGCAGATAACGTTCTCGCGCGATGGCACTTTGCGCGCAATACTTATGCCGTATTCACGCAGGATGCCGACGGAGCTCTCTTCGTGACGTATCGCGAAAATACGCCCGCGTGAAAGGTTTCGAGAAAAGTTTCACACCACCGCCAAGTGACACGCAAAATTTATGACGAAAGACAGGGAAACGCTTGCGCGTGAAAATCAGGACGCGCGATTCGAGAGAACGCGTGCAGGATTTCCTGCTGATACAATCGCGACGATCGCGATGATCCTTGAACAGAAAGGAAAGAAAAGGAAGAAGAAAAAGAATCAAGCGAGAACGTAAAACAAAATCTGCGTAGGACATAGTTGTCAGAAAAACACCTAGTCGCGCATCTCGATAGATCGCCGATAGGTCCACGCGAATCTAACGGCGATTATTTCGGCAATTCGGCGATCGGCTAGGTGAACAACGAATCACGATCTGGCGCGATGTGTGTGGAACGAGTCGGAAAGCCGGTGCGACGGAGAGGAGCGACGAGAGCGGGAAGGAGAGGAGAGAGAGAGAGGGGGGGAGAGAAAGAGAGAAAGAGAGAGAGAGAGAGAGAGAGAGAGAGAGAGAGAGAGAGAGAGAGAGAGAGAGAGAGAAGGGGAGAAAAGCAGACGCGCGCGCGGCGCGTCCGCCGCTGCAACGATTGGGTTTATACGGAATCCCGAGAGTGTCTGGATGGACCGTTAGCTTGGCCCCCTGACATACAGCTACAGCAGCCTTTTCCTTCTTCTCTCGCCTCGCCTCTTAGCTTCCTTCCTCCTCTGCGACGTGCGTGTACACATACACGCGCGCGGCGGACGTGAGCCAAGAAGAGAGCCGCGCGGCTCAGCTGCACCTTGCGCGGCCGAGCGAGCGCGTGAGCGCGCGAGAGGTGCACTTTACGCCGTATATGTAAATCGCTGGACGAGCACGTGCGCTCGTTACACGCCGCGGAGTTTCTCCTCTCTTTCGATTGGACCGGCGCGCGACTTGGATATCCGATATAAGACATATCGGGACAGGTGAAATGAGCGCGTTGCGCGCGTTGCGCGTTACCGTTATCCGTACTTCACCGCTCGTCTCCGCTTGTCTCATTTCGTCCCGACTCTCTCGTCTTCTTCTCTTTTTTCCCTACATTTATTCGACGTGTGATATATTCGGCCAGAATCGCGGATATGCGCTCGAAATATTTAACGACCGTGACGACGAGCGAGTCGGAAAATTCGATCGTAATTGCGGCGCGGTAATGGCGGGGGTGAGTTCCGTCGGGAAGGAATATTGTCGGGCAATTTGATTTCCTAGTTGAGTGATGATGCAATTTCTGATTGTGTATTTTCGTTCAAACGTCGATTGGAATTTTCAGTCCTCAAGGAAGAGGCTGGGCTTTGAGCTGCGCTATGTGAGATTCAGGTCGTGCGCGGATATTCAAATTCGCCGGTGAATAGGAATGCCGTGAATGAGGCGAGGAATAATTAGGTTGGTTCCGAAAATGTCTCGCAATGTTTGAATATCGGGAAATCGGATCGTGCGAGAAGAATTTATCCTACATTTTCGATCTACTTTCGCACAAGCAGAATCGCTTCGACTGCGCTGCATTATTGGTACATTTTGTAGTTTATACGTGTATTTAGAAATCCATCCACCATCTATTCGGATGCGAAAAAACCCCCCCAATCTGTCTTCGCGCACAAAAAAACCGAGCGGCCGCCCACGATGTGTTACATTTTATTACAATTTGCGAGCTCTCCACGTTGCAGAGTTGAATTCTCTCTGAAGTACATTTTCGCGTTTCTTCCTCTTGTATCGAATTAATCGGGTCAGCCTGAAGCAGAAAGTCGAAGCTGATCTTTCGACTGAACCAGTACAGCGCGCAAAACGCCAGGAGAGAAGAAATCAAGATCTATCACAGAGCGCTCATTGAGTTATCAATATAAGGTGAGCACGTTACTCATGTAGAAAGAGAAACGAAGAGAAAACAAGTATTTCGCCGCATACTAATCAGGCTGTCGAGCGGAAAAGTGATTACCGCTGTAACGTGAGTGTTTCCAGCGGGCGGTACCGTGAAACACGGTAAACACTATTGCGATATTTCTTTCTGTCGTTTGGCGGACAGCAAAAATAATGTTAATCGTTACGGCACGCGAAAATTTATTTACGCGAGCGTTATTACGAAACTACGCGAATCTCAGCTTCGTTTAGCGTACACGTCGACGCGCGCGATGCGACGCGACGCGACGCGACGCGACGAGCGCTGTCTACCTGGTAGAATCGAATCACTGTGTAAACAGATCATACCCGAGGGATTACGTTTCCCTCAGAGTCCCCGCGAGCGATATCTCGACCCGACGAGTCCCGGCCCATTCCGTCCCGTGCTCACTTTCACCGATCGTCTCCTGCCATCACCTACAACGAGCTCGTAACGCGTCCACGCATTTCTCGAATGGCTCTCGCGTATTTCCTGAACGCCGTTCACGATCAGACCGACTTCCTCGCGGAGCACGCGCGATCGGTTCCTCTTCCTCCTCGTGGCGGTCGCGATCGACGATTTACAGTTTGCCGAGCCACCGAAGATAAAAGTGCCTCTTGGCGCGCGCGCGATTGGAACAACAAGAAACGAATGTCTAATTTCGCGATAAGCGTCTCGTCCACGCGTGCGACAGCTCGGACTGCAGCATTCCGGCCGCGTGGTTGTATTCTCGCCTTGAAACGCGATTCTCGCTCTCATTGTCGACTCTAATTACGCTCCTGCTGACCCACTTGTCGAACCGAAATGCTCGCATTAGCCGAAGGACAACACGCGCCGTGTGTCGTGGGTGGCACGCATCGACATTCCTATGTGTATGCACGCCCGTTGTTTCCTACGCTAAGAAAGGAAGCCGTTAATTATAAGATGGTATGCGTCACCGTTCAGGTATTATTAATAACACAACCGCGATGACGGATTGGAATTACACACTACCGCATAGGCGTGAGACTACGTAAATACACTCTTTCCCAAGCCGCGCAAGCTGCGTCGTTTTGTACCTATTCTAAGGATACCCATGTGACGCACGAGACACCGAGAGTGCGGCTTGACCGCGAACTTGGATTCAAGTGATCATCCCTTATGCCGGGGATTCCTTTCCTCACGACGAGGCGCGGCCGTATTGAGTTATTCGATTCGATCACGCGGAATTCGCGATGTCGCGGGAGGCAGAGAGACATCGCGCATCTGAGAGTTTTCATCGGCGTGAAAGCTCGCGTGAACAAAAATATTCAACCAAACAATAATTGGTGACGGCAGAAAATTTGATCCCCCCCTCCTTCGCCCCTCCTCCTATTTTCTTCTGAACGTCGACTGACATTTTTGCTTCTACGAGAGAGAGAGAGAGAGAGAGAGAGAGAGAGAGAGAGAGAGAGAGAGGGAGAGAGGGAGAGAGGGAGAGAGGGAGAGATGGAGAGGGGGAGAGAGGGAGAGAGGGAGAGAGGGAGAGAGAGGGAGAGAGAGGGAGAGAGAGAGAGAGAGGGAAAGAGAGGGAGAGAGAGGGGGAGAGAGGGAGGAGAGGGGAGAGAGGGAGAGAGGGGAGAGAGGGGGGAGAGGGGAGAGAGGGGAGGGAGAGATAGGGAGAGGGGGAGAGGGGGAGGGGAGAGGGGAGGGGAGGGGAGTGAGGGGGAGGGGGGAGGGAGGGAGGGAGGGGGAGGGATGGAGGGGGAGGGATGGAGGGAGAGGGAGGCAGAGGGAGGCGGAGGGAGGCGGAGGGAGGGAGAGGGAGGCGGAGGGAGGGAGAGGGAGGGAGGGTGTGGGAGAGGGAGTGAGAGGGTGGGAGGGAGAGGGAGAGGGAGGGAGAGGGAGGGAGAGGGAGGTAGGGAGAGGGAGGTAGGGAGAGGGAGGGAGAGGGAGGTAGGGAGAGGGAGGGAGATGGAGGGAGAGGGAGGGGAGAGAGAGAGAGAGAGAGAGAGAGAGAGAGAGAGAGAGAGAGAGAGAGAGAGAGAGAGAGAGAGAGAGAGAGAGAGAGAGAGAGAGAGAGAGAGAGAGAGAGAGAGAGAGAGAGAGAGAGAGAGAGATGGGCTACCTTCGCACGATGAGGCATGCACAAATGCAAGATTCAGGTCGTGTGTAGAAAGATCCCAAGTGACAGGTGCAGGAAGCTCGCGAGAAATAATCAGATTACTCCTGACGATATCTCCGTTATCGGCGCGGCGGAGTCGACGCTGATACGCGCATGAATGAACGTCCTGTTCGTCGATCGTCGATTTGACCTCGCTCACTCGCGGAGGAGATCGCCTGCAGTCCCTCCGCAGACTCGCAGAGCTGGAGACGACCAGAGGTCGAGCGAGGGTGTCATTGAGTGGGCAGCCGGTGGAGCTGGAGGAATTGTCACGGGGATTCTCGTGGAGGGCTCGGATCGAGCCGCGGCTCTGCACGACCGCGCGCTAATACCCGCTCTCTCGCGTGCACCAATGTGTAATGTATCACGGCCTACGTGCGTACAACCGCTCATGTGTCTGCGGTCGCTGCAGGGATTGGGAACTTTCTTTCGAGAAGTGGCTCACGACGAAACGAACGACGACGACGACGACGACGACGAGGCCAAGCAGCAAGCAAGCATAGGCCGCGGCAGTCGAAGAGGCACTTGCCTGCCCCGGCAGCGGCGGCGCGCACCTATTCTACAAGGCGAAGTAGAATCGAAGGGAGAACGCGGCCGTTCCACTTGCAATCGAGACGAATCGAGGAAGCATATCCGGTGAAATAACACACAGCTCCATTCGCAGTCCCAGACGTGCCTCCTCTCTGCCTTTCTCTCTCGCCAGCCTTCTTTTACACGCGTCGCCAAGTCATTGAGATTCATCCTGCGCGCCGCGCCGCACCGCCTCGAAGGAGGACAATGGAAGATAGTTAAGTACTTAAGGCATACTTACGCGTCTACTTGTGCCTATATACGCGTCGGAGGAGCGCGCACAGGCATTTGCCTTGCGCGCGCGCGCGCGTGTGTGTGTGTGTGTGTCCACGTGTGTACCGCGCGCGCGCGCGGACACGCTTGGATGAGTTTACCGAGGATTCGCGATACGCTCGAACACGCGCGTTTCGATTATCAGTCGCTTATCAGTTTCGCGTATAACGGCCCATATATCCGATCTCCGTTGTTCCGGCTGTCGTGGACGAATCTCGAATATTTCGATCCTAACGCGGCTTGTCGCAGGAAACTCGCGGGAAAAGCGTGTGTAGTGTCTCGGGGCGAGGGGACGGGGTGAGGGGCGGGGGGGGAGGGAGAATCGTAGGATTTTAATATTTATATATTTATATAGGCTCTCTCTTTGAGATTCGAATCCGCCGGTGAACGCGTTCGATTCTTGCAACGTAAAAGCCGTGAGAGAGCTCTGTCCATAAATGAGGACAAGAATAGCCTTTATTATTCTTATCACGCTATTACTCGTGTGTGTATATCCACCTTTCCTTTACCTTGATCGGTCTTTTCTTTTTTTTGCTTCTAAACGCCCGCAACAATGAGTGAGATGGTGTGTATCCGATAATTCGCCGCAACCGCCAATTAGTTGAGAACTAATTCCTCCTGTTCTCCGGTTAATTGGTTCTTATCTCGGGATTATTAGGAATATGCTAACTTGTCTGTGTAGTTAACCGGATCCGTTCCCCGCGCCCGTGCTGGGCGCGAAAAGACTCGGCGAGATAACTCAATTACGGCGGGAGCATTGTGTTCCATTCGTATTCGCGACGCGTTCGTGTTTTATGCAATTTTTCTGCCTCGGCCGAGCCGACAGGACGGGACTAAGCATTGCTAGATTGTTCCCACGGTGTGTCGGCGACACGCAACTTACGTCGATTTCCCTGGGAACGTAATCGAATCCACGTTCTATTTGCGATCTACTCAGGGACGAGAGAAGGCGCCGGAGAAACTGGAGTAGGTGCGTGAAAATATTTTATCTCTCAACTGCCGCATGCGGGAGAGTGGACGCGGGCACTCGCAACTAGCCATTTGCGCCAAGCAATAAGCTGTTTACAGCTCATTTCCCGAAAAATCACCTGAGCGAGCAGCACCGTTGCGCACGTTTGAAAGTGGCGTGAAATTGTATGTAATTTTCGTTCTCGTAAAAATTCGGAAACCCGCAACGAGATAATAACGACGAGGAGCGCGCGAGTGTGTTAAGAATGTCAATTTTTTTTCACTTAAGCGCACAATTATAAAATACATTAGATGCCAGGGGCGCACTTTTGTGCGGGACATTTTTCCATTAGACTTTGTAACTCCGGAGTAATTATCAATGCCGACTTAGCTTCGAGGGGTCGTTTCAACTTTTGAACTCTACGGCGTACTTCGAACCCGGTGAAGATCAGCGAGTAACACTCGCGAACTTTTCCTCGTTAGTAAATGCATGTAAGTATGATTTTTATTTCTAGTCGCGACGAAGAGAGACTGAGCCGGTTGTTATGTTTACCTCGTTCCATGCGAAACCCATGAAATGCGTGTCGGTCTTGAAAATGCATACACGAGAGCACGAGAGGAACTAGAGAGAGAGAGAGAGAAAGAGAGCGAGAGAGAGAGAGAGAGAGAGAGGAGAGAGAGAGAGAGAGAGAGAGAGAGAGAGAGAGAGAGAGAGAGAGAGAGAGAGAGAGAGATCGACGAGCACCGGTACGTCCGTGAAGGATACGATCCCACGACTCTTTCACCGTTTATATCGCACTCGAGCACACGCACGCACGCAAGCACGCACGCAAGCACGCACGCACGCACGCACGCACGCACGCACTCTCGGACAAGCACGCAGAGCGCGGAGAACAGCGTGCGCACGACCAGCGTCTAGATCGGACTGAAGAAGCCAGCACCTTCGATGGTCGGCGGAGCCTTCCACACTACCTGTGGAGCCGCGAACGCGGGCCCCCATTCCTTCGCCATTCCATTCGGAACATTACGAACGTGCCTACACCTTACTACCGCTTCGGCAGGAACTTATTGTTAGACTCGCGGAGCATAATGAGACATGCAATATGGCAATTGTGGTGTTTCTCAAACTAAACCGTTGCATCCTTTTCTTGATCTAATTGATAAGCCCCTCGGCGTAACCGAGGGCAGCCATTAGTTTCATCAAGAGCGCCTATTCCTTTACTAAAAATCAGATGCGCCGAAGAAGCGCGCGGCGAGTAACCAGAGAACTCGGGGGGCGAGTTCCCTGAGAAAACACGTTCCCGTCTGAAGCCGCACTTGTCCTGTGAGAGGTGCTCCTCTCCTCTCTGAACTCGGAATTTATCCTATACCTTTTCGGATTCTGGCGCTCGTCCAATCTGGATTTCATTTGAATGTAATCTGATTGCGATTTGAATTTTTAATTCGAATCTTCATTCGAATTGAATTTCAATTTAATTTGTTTCCACTCCGAGGTGAGTAGTGAGGCCGATATTCGATAAATTGATATTGAAGAAAAAACACACACACGCGGTGCGTTCTCTCTAGATATAACGAGACCTTCTTTCATTCCCTTCTTTGAGTGAAAGAGTTCACATAACCCCGCGGCTGGAGTACGCGCCGAAGAAAGAGCGTCTCCTTAGGTCTTCACCGTGAATCGTGCACCGCCATTAGCTCGATTAAGCGACGATAAGGCAACTCTGATGGGTGGCAATTATATTGTGCGACCGGCAACTACAACCTTTTAACGGCGACCGCACGCTCGCCCGCCCGCTCGCGTGGCCTTTAAGTTCCTTCGAAATGACGAAGACGCGTATAATGCACAATGCATGTCCGCGCGGGATGTCTCGCAACGCGCGGCACCTCCGTACGTTGACCCGTTGATATCGCGATATCCGAGCAGCTCCTTCGACTAAAAGCGAAACGTCAATAGATAAACGAAGAGTGTTCATCGGGCCTTTCTCGCTCATTCGTAATGGCTTCCTTGAATCGTTACACGCTACTCGATGAAAATAAAGACCGCCGTCTAAAAAGTAGCAACCGCGTTGTGTCGCCGCGAGCGCGCGCGCGTTTCTTGGAGCATGTTCAAATATCTGAGGCACCTTAAACGGCTCGGTGTCGTAACGCACACTCCGGGGTCGCTTCACACGATGGTTCATTAACCTTTTATGTAGCGCGGCGCTGGTCCTACATAATTTCATCTTTAACAATGACGCAATGCTCCTCTCCCTCATCTGTATGTGCATGCGTGTGTATCCCTTTGTTCGGTATCCAAGTCTTTTTATCCGCAGCACGCGGGCTTACTTGTACGAAACTTGTAATACGCAAAGGAAGAAAATTGTGCGATTTCCTTACACGGCTCCGTTTTCTTCCCTCGGTTGGTTTCGCTGATTGCTGATTTCAACATGGATCGAGCCGAGCGCTCGCGCTAAAAACTTCTCGGAACTCGACGCTCTGTAAACTTATACCGGAAGTCGCACGATATGATAATCACGGGCACCGGTACGGTCTTCAGGGTGAACCGTTGGATCGTTCACACGACGTATCTGAGAGCGAAGAAAGCACGAAGGAAGAAATGAGAAGAAAATGCCTCCTTTAGCTCGCAGTGAAAGGCGAAGGAGCGCGATTGTCGATCGTGCGCGTTATGTTTGAAATTTGCGTCGTATGCGGAATAAAAAGGATGGGACGTCCGCTTTGTAAAATATTCAGTTCGGCGACGAGAATAACATCGAGCGAGAAGGAGAAGAAAAAGACAGAAAAGAAACGTTATTTGAGGAAACGAAGGAAGTGGACGAAGGTCGAGCGTGATGCACACACTCACCGTGTCGTGTTCCACCGGCGGCAGCTTCCGATCGTTCAAGAGCTTCGACAGCTCCTCGATCTCTCGGCCCTTGCCTCGCAGTTCGTCCATCTGCAAAAATCCGCAAAAAACTCGTTTGTACCCGGCCTGCGGACTCCTCTCTCGCACGTGTGGCGAAAGTTGCAATGTAAAAGATTAATACCGGCGCCCGGCGAGAGATCGCGACAAAGAATAGAATGATGATGAAGAGGGAGGGTACGCGCGCGGTGATCGGTCCCTTTCGTGGCCGCTCTTTCGAGAGGCTCTCACCAGAAGTCTCGCTCGTCCCGGCTCGCAGTTACGCTCGTCAGGCGCCGGGAGCCTTTTGCCTTCACCTTGTCTGTACAGGTGGGATGTAAGAGAAATGCGAAGTCGTCATAAACCGCTTCGCTCGTCGCGCGCAAACGTTCACACGTGCGTAAGCGGACGGAGTATTTTGTTTCGGTTACGCGAGATTCGCGCGTGCGATTTCTACGAACGATGAATCATCAGACACGCGGCCGTAGATAATAAATTAACTATTACCGTAATCGGACTACACAGTCCGGACCGGTGACAATCGTTCCCCGCGACGAGGTCAAATTTTTCGATACTCGCGAGGACTGCGTTCTCGTCGTCGTGCGTCATTATTTATAGAATTCTATAAAGTATTCGACAGCGCGAAGCTGTCCGGGCGAACCATCACGACATTATTTGAGACTTCGAATTTGGACAAATGACTTTCCCCGATCTCATCTGTACCTGAGAGATGTATTTTTTCTTTTTTTATTTTCTTTTTTCTTTCTTTTTGAATGAGAGTGAAGTTGGTGTCTTTCTATTCGCGTTTCTCGCGCTACTTTGTTTGTCGCACCCCTCGGTAACGCACCGACTCGGTGCCTTTCTCTTTCTTCTTACGATTTTCGACATTTGGCCGGCCGCCAAAGGTGCGGCTGTGGTCGTGTTAATCCGCTTCGGCAATGCGGTAGACAAATGCGCTGGACGTCAGCGAGCGCTTTCGGCCGCGATGTGGCACGTTAGGAAGCAGGAAACTATTCTCTCGCAGACTTTCCGAGCCCGCGTACGCTAGGCCGATAAACGCGAATAAGTAACTTGGATTAAATATAGCGTCCTCGACGCGGCCAGGTCGTCACAGTGGCTAGAAAAACTAGAGACGGCTCGGAATAAATGATCGGGTCGGACCCGAGAGGATCGTTCACGCAGCGGGTCGAGCGCATTATCAGCGACACGACTAATTTATGTGAGTGAAATCAAGTATCTAAAATAAAGTTACGCAGAAGCAACTTTCAGCTGTTGCATAATGGGACGAGATGCTTGCTCGCCGAAGAAGCTGCCGGAAGTGATTTCTTCCCGCGGCTATCCGAAAGCGACACGCATCGACGTCTCGTGATGATCGACGGAGAACTTCGCAGAGTAGTACTTAGTTGCGAAGCGACGAGAGAAATATGAAAGGACTCGTGCGTCAAAGGGTTCGCAATTCTGTCTTCCAAGGATAATTCGACCCGCTAAATTCCATCGACGGCACTCGCGCGATTTTCCACTCGCGCGGGAAGATACCTGGCGAAATTCGGAACGGACGCGAAATCACAGAGAAATTCCAAAGCCCAAGAATAGCGTGGGAAAACCGTGACCATTTTGGATAATCATACAGCGGGAACATTCTTTCCCGTCGAAGCTGTGCCGAACACGTTCGCCATGTCGGTAAAACTTTTGTCCGAGCGGCCCGGCAGGCCGGCTTGCTGCATCCTGGACAGACTCTTTTCTAGTTAGTGCAGGTCGATTCCGCGGGGCACGATTTTTTAATAAGCACCTTCGAAGGGTCTCGTGCTCGATGTTCGTGCTCGCGTTCGCGATGGAGGATATTTTTGCACGCTTGTGCGAAAGTCTTGAATCCGGTCACTCCCGGAGCGGAATTTACATCGCAACGATCGTTAATCTCGTGTCGGACCATGTCACGCTCGTGGAATCGTTATCATTGAGCCATTGAGCTTTCTGATGAATATATATTGACACGCCGCCGATATCTATAACGCATTTGTACTACACTCACCATTTTTGTAGTTTCGCTGCGATGCGATTCTCGCAGTGCGGAAAACTCCGCTTCGTAAGTCTGCCGTTGAACTCGTATCTCAGAGATACGAGCCTTCTCCACATCTACAGCGACCTAAATACAAAAATATCTCCCATAAGTGAGGAGCAGAATAAACAAGAGCTGATACGTCGTAAACATCGTGTACTTCCGTGTTCGTTGCCGCACGGGAGAAGAACTCGTTTCGTGTGTGTTTCGGATTTTCTAAACGAAAACTCGGTTGGGAGAGAAAGACACCTGTAGGAAATTTCAGCGCAACCGAACGTTCAGACGAACATTTTCAGAAGCGATATCACAAAGCGATGTCGTTTCTCGTCGCCAAGTTCTCGTCCGATTCCCATTCTGCTCGTCGGCAGAGGTGTTTCGCCCGAGTGCAAGTTAAGGGATTTTTAACCGTGTTAGGACGTGCAGACTTACACGCAATTTTTCTTCGAGTTTTTCGTTTTCGGCACGAAGACTTCGCACTTCTGCTTGCAGGCGACGCGCTTCGCCGCCCAGGGAAGTACCATCGGCATTGCGAGTTTTATTCGCTCGTGATTTCACCGATTGACACTCGAGTCTCCGTATCGTGTTCTCAGCTTCAGCTAAGCGCTTTCTGAGAGTCGATAGTTCGCGTCTGTGATTCTCGTTTTTCACAGGATCCAGTTTGAATGGCAGTGACGGCGACGGCGACGGCGACGGCGACGGCGACGATGACGGTGGCGATGACGGCGATGCGGAATGAGCGAGTCTAAAGAGAAATTAATTCTAGTTTCAAGCTATTATCTCGGATCTCTGGTATGTCGTTATGAAAAGTCATACGATGGAGAACTTGGTGACCTACATACGAAAATATAGATATCAACGATTAAATACGACAACTTGATCAGAGAGAGAAAAAGAGAGAGAGAGAGAGAGAGAGAGAGAGAGAGAGAGAGAGAGAGAGAGAGGAGAGAGAGAGAGAGAGAGAGAGAGAGAGAGAGAGAGAGAGCGGGAGAGAGAGAGAGAGAGAGAGAGAGAGAGAGAGAGAGAGAGAGAGAGAGAGAGAGAGAGAGAGAGAGAGAGAGAGAGAGAGAGAGAGAGAGCGGGAGAGAGAGCGGGAGAGAGAGAGAGAGCGGGAGAGAGGAAACATTTTCAAACTGCCTTCAACGTTAATTTGTGCAATTACTCTGCTCTAATTTTCAGGATTCATGTCTGACAATATTTTGTTGTACTTTGCTATCAAGACGTACAGCTTCATCGGAAAGAGACCATCGCGAGAGATAATAGCTATCGCGACCAACCTCAGACGCGGAGCTTCGGAGATTCGTCTCGATAAATGACTCGTAATTTTCGAGATGCGTCTACCTGGTCTTCAGTTCGTCTATAATCGGCTGATACTTGGCGGCCTCAGCGAATCTGGCCTCCCTGAGGGCAAAATCGAAGTCCCTCTTGGCAATTTTCGCCGCCCTTCGCTCCTCGTGCAGCTCCGTTCGCACATTCGCTAAGTTCTCGCGCAGTTTTCCAATTCCCTCCTCGAGCCATTGTATCGTTTTCCGCAATCTGGCCGTGTTATCCCTGACCATGCCTGCGCCAGTTACCGCGACCTGGGCGACCTGCGCTGTTCTCGCGTCCTGCGAGTCTGTCGGCGAGATCTGGTCCTGCTTCCTCTTGCATAGTGACAAGACCTTTCTGTCCTCCGCGCGCTCGGCTTTTCCCTTGCGGCGCGTATTGCTGCAAATTTATGCCGGAATATCGATCACTCTTAAGATATTATCTCTCGACTATTATTCATAAATATATGTCGCGCAATTTTCGATCGAGACAGAGGATCCGATTCATTCTGCACCATCGAGGAAATCCTAATTTTGCTTCGCGGCTTTACTCGCGGCGGAGATCTGCGGTTACTTTCTCGGCTAAATTACGATCGATTTTCCAATAGACGGCTAATAATCGAGTACGGGGAATGTATTATATTGTAATGCGCGAAACTTCACTCGAGGTCTCATCGCTATTAATATCCTTACACATCGAAGTTGCATGTTCCGTCGCGTCGCTGCGTCTTCTTAGGGATCTCTATGTTCGTCGTCGAGGGTTCTAATCGTCGTCGCTTTCTTGCACCCTCCACGAGTACGGAAGGGTTAATTCCGTTCGTCGTTGATTTGTTCGTATTTGTCGTTTCGACGGTGTCTCTCTCTGAGGAGCTTGCCATCGTCGCTGGAAACGCGAGTATTTATAAACTCGTATATTATAAGAGCATAGAGCTAAGGACATGTACATGCTTGTGCCCCTCTTCCCCTTTCCCGGCTAAATCCAATATTACATTGTTAACGGATAAACGAGTAAAACGGACGTTAAATACGTATCTTTACACGACAAACTTGATCTGCAATTCAAAACCGCAAGAAATTACACGCTTATAATTCGCTCAAAAGAGCGTAATTCCTCCGCCTTCTTCCTCCTCTTACCCCCTCCAAGGATTCAAAGGTGGACCTCTACCCGTCATATGAGGATTTAAAGTTGATTTATAATTCTCAAAAAAATCGCTCGTAACACATTCTACGCGTTTCGCCTTGAGTGCGTATTTCTTAGGTATCCTTTATCGTTCTAACAAATTGACTAACGTTTCGTTCGTCTTGGAGCTCAGGGTCGCGACGTTTTTGCGAGTGTTTCTGCGAGTCCCCGATTGAACGACAGATTTCACCGCGGACGAACTTACCGTTTTCGTAAGGACGTGAGGACGTCGGCCGATCCGTCGAACTCGGTTTCGGTGTATTATTGCACCCGTTATACGGTACGGCGGCGGATCCTCCTCGCGAGAGACACCGTCGCCAACTAAGAGAGGCCGAGGCCTTAAACTATACCGCGGCCCGCGCTCACTATATGTACACCCGCCAACCAAGTCATCTCGTCTCTTTGGCTTTATTTAGCGGCCTCCTCTCGTCTCTCGTCCCCTCATCTTCTATATTGCCCGCCCACACTAAGTTTGGCCGACCGGCTATTCGCGTCCGCTTTCATCCGCGCGGGTTTCGCGTCCGAGTCATTCTCAACGACGTGCTCGGTCCATCTCAGTTCGGCTCGGGGGAGGAATTCTCTTTTACACTCGTATATGAACTAATCGATGTACAGACATTCGGAGACGATCGTTCCTCGGAGACGTTGCGTCGCATCGAGGAGACCCAGGGTGGTGGGTGAAGATGTTTTGGGGTCATGCGAGGTCATCTTGAATTTTTCGAAACGATTCGAACGCTTTCTCCTTAAGAGCTCCCTCAGTTATGAATTGCGATAAGTTGCGATATCATCGAAATCAGTATCGCCCAGAGCGTAGATTGTGCAATCGAGAATTCACACCATTCCACGTGCACGTGTGCGTCACGACATCACCGAATAAAAGGAAGCACAAAATATAAATCGCTCGTGTATAAAAAACAAAAAAAAAGAGGAACCATAAAAGATGCTTCTCTATTTTTCTTGGCGAAATCGCCGTGTAGGAGCGGCGGCGGCGACTCTGAGGTTAAACGGTTGGGTCTATATTTACTATCCGATAGCGCTGATAAGGTATAAGAAAGGGGATGTGAATCGGCCGTTAGCTCGTGGCGAAAGGCGTCCGAGTCGCGTGGGGCGGGTGCGTCGAAACTCCGAGACTCGAGAAGAACCCCTATCGATCGATAGCGACGCCTGTGCAGTGAGCGAGCCCGAACCACGATCGACGACCGTAAAGAGAGCCCGGGGGAAACAATCGCATCATCGTCTTTTCGACGTGGCCTGCGCTCGGTTGTGTGCACGACGACGACGACGACGACGACGACGACGACGACGACGGGGTGTCAGTGACGCTGTCGTTATTCCTTGCTCCGTGTGCTCCCGTCGAGTGTGACTTTGTGATTCGTAGCTCTCTCGTCATTTTGCGCGACGAACGCAGTTCCTCTTCTCGACGACGACGACGCTACGAAGAAGTGCACAGCCCCGCTTCGGATGTAGCCGTTCGCGAATAGCGGTAGCGCCAACGCGGAAACACGATGTCATGTAGCTGAAGGGATGCGACAGTAGGTACAGAAAGGTGAATATTCGTGATTATTAAGAACACGATCATCTCTCCCGGCCTGACTCGTCGTCGCAGCGCAGCCTCCATCGGCGGATTCGTGAGAACTCGCTCGTACAACTCATTCCGCGCGGAGAGGAAGCGAAATTCCCTCTCGACACAATCTAGCATAAATTGACTGGAGGCCTGTGTTTTCCACAGTCAGCTTTAATTAGCGCAGCTCGCGGCGCACTGTGTTAAGATCGCGCATAATAATTAATAATGTTTATGGTTGCACGGAGTCGCTACGGGAGAGAGACCGCTAAAGAGACATATCGAATAATGTAGCCACCGTTATCTCTGTCAGAGAGCGGCGATAAATTTGTAGGAAAATTAATTAATCGTCGCTGTGGCAATTAATTTTCATGCGGAAATGAGGATATCGCTGTTCCGCCACGACGGGAGCGACGAACACGAGCGAGAGAAAAATCGACGTTTCTCTTCGTTTTCTAAAATTTTTTGCATAACTAAAATGTCCCGTTACACGCGCAATTTGAAGGAATTGTTCCGTAACGTGAGAAATGATGAAGAATGAGCTATTGTGAAATATCACGTATGTACGAGAGAGGGGATATGTGTGTGTGACGTATGGACCTGTGTGTGGCGCGGTGCACACATAAATACGAGTACAGCGTGGTGTTTACATCTCACGTCGTAAAAATATAATCTCAGAATATTTTTAAAACGAATGAATCAGCAAAAGTTGTTGCACTCGCGTGAACCTGATGGGGAAATTTTATAGCGTATATTTTAACTATTGACGCTTATAAATATCACCTCTCGTTCTCATTCATCGCGAAAGTAAGCACGCTGTCGACAAGCTGTCAAATTGCGCGGAAATACCGCGAGGAAATATTTTCAACTCGAAAAATAGTTATTTTAATGCTATTTTAATGAAACTTTTTATAAAAACGCGAAGCACATCAGGGTATAAAAATACATCTCGCGACACGTGCGACGGCTGACTGAATTTCCTTTCTCGACGCGTTTGTCGTGAAAATTAACGTCAAACTAGACGAGGGAAAGTGATGAAAATGACGAAACAGATTTCGCGACGTGGCTTATTTGATCCGAGTCGAGTGACACTCGGAGCAAGAAAGTCGATATACTTATGTACTGGACAGGCGGATCGAAATGTCAATCTTGAGAAAACGTTCTTGAACCTTGACTAGCGGTGGACGCGCATACGTACGTTGGTCGTTATATAGTCAAGTATACCGACGGGACGGTCTAGCATTAGTCGCAATGTGGTAGTCCGCTGTATTAGTCAACTCCGAGCTAAAGACTAGTTTCCTTCACCTGGCTTATAATCGCTTAACATGATATAGACTGGAGCAGAATGTTAATCCAGGTCTGCTTATGCAATCGGTCGCCAATGATGCTCGTTTCTTGCAGGTTTAATTCGAATGTAAAAACAACGATCGTTCTGGATAGCGAGGAAAATCTTCAGCGACAATTCGAAGACTGCAGACGTATAAGCGACGGACATGAGCGCTCGGATCGTTTGTTTAGGATTGTAAAGGCCGCGTCGTGGAATCAAGTGTGGATGATAATTACCGGGAAGGAGATAAGTGGCAGCGAGCGACGAACGACGTTGCCACTTGATCGCTAGATCCTCCGTCAGCCGTGTCTCCCGATCCCGTGTGAGTCGCGCAGTGGGAACTCTTTTTTCGACCTGACGCATCATCGTCAATAATATACAACGATAATGTAGCAGTGCTAAATCTCGTGAAAACCGCCCACGGAGAGCAGGAAGATCGTCGGGTGCTCAGATGTAATCGACAAGCAACACGTAAGGATTAAGTCGTAATGAAAAGCGAATGAATATGGAGAACTTGGCAGTAATTTACGTAACGAGCAGCCGGTCAGACATCATAAAGACTTCAACGTCTTGGATGAATGCTTGTTGAGTCGTACGAATTATACGATAAAAAATTGGCATAATTTTACATTTTGCGTTTGTACTTTTGCGTTTGTACACGATTTCATCGTAGTGTCGACGCGACTGCGACGGTAACAGGATAGAAAGAGAGAGAGAGAGAGAGAGAGAGAGCAGCTTGAAATATTAATAATTTAAGAGAAACTTCCACCTGAGAATTAATTTCTTTTTAACCCGGTCACACCATGTATTCTTGCCTTTAAACCGCCTCATGTGCTACATATAGTCGTGACGTTGGCAACGGGGAACGAGTTCAGATGTCCAACGTAACGTAGACACTCGTCGCTGCACCAATTTCTGGAGGAAATTGGAACGGTCGAAACCAGCGAGTGTGGAAAATGTCCGAGAGCGAGACGAAGCCGGCTTCGCCGATACCCACCGTCACGTGCGCACAATGCTGCGCCAGCGGCGGTCTAGCAACCTCGCAGTGTCCAACCCTTCAGGTCACCTCACGGATGCTGCGCTCACCGAGTCACGAGAGCGTCACCACCGACCTGTCGCTCTTCAGCGTGTCGTCGATCGCGAGCGAACTGCGTGGCACGAATAGACTGGTGACTTTCAAGTCCTACAGCGACGTGCAGCTCGCCGGACGAGGACCCTCCCCGAAGCCCGACTCTTCTCGGCAAATTCAGGGTAACAGGTTCGTATTCGATATTCCAAAATGTCATTTATCCAATTGCAGTATATTAGCGTTTCATGAGAAGTCGTCACTTTTTACCGTCTTGCTCGCTCAGAGCTGTTCGAATAAAACTTCAAATCGCGTCAGCGATCGCATCTCGGATCAATCCGCTCATCTTTTTCTTTTCATCAAGACGTCTTGACTTAACTCGAGATTTTTTCCAACATTAAATAATATTTCATCAGGCCAGCGGATATTCCTGAGATTTTATGGTTCGAAGAGGAGAACGAGCTGATCCGCAGCTGCGGCGTCCTGTCGTCGGCATTGGGATTGCGTAAGAGCTTCAGCACGAGCGACGTGTCGCAACTTCCTAGCCCGGATGCATCCGGACCGGGGGGTGGTCTTCGAACAGCAGTGTCCGCTCTGGCTCTCGATACCGCCCAACGCAACACTCTGCTGTTGGAGCACGCAAGACTTGATCACACTTCAAGATCTTGCAGCACCTGGGTCGCGGTGGGCGAACCCGTGGCCAGCACGTCTCAGCTTCCCAGTCCGCACGGTGGAGCCGCGCAGGAACAGCAACAGCCACAGCCGCAGCAGCAGCAGCAACATCAGCAGCTGCTGCTGCAACAACAACCACAACAATCGTCCTCTTCGAGCCCTCAATCGATGCCGCAACAACCGCCACCGCAACCCCCAGCACCGCCACCACCACCTGTGCCATTCACCGGAGCGGACCTTGTCCGGTCTGTCAACAAGAAGGTGCGACAGAATTATATACGACGAAGGTCAGTAGCTGTATAGTCAGCCAATCAATGATTGTGTCATCTCGACTGAAATATCCGTCAACAGCGGTTAATTATGACGTTATCTTCCTCGTATTGCTATATTTCTATATTAATAAAGAAAAAAGTGCATCAAGGCTTGCATTATGCAAAATGAAAAATTCTTCAGGGTCTCTTTATTCTATGTATAAAATATTATATAAGATAAAAAAAAATAGTAATTAAAATTAAATGAAATGTTATTTTAAATTACACACACACACACACACACACACACGCGCGCGCGCGCGTATTCTCTCTCTCTTTCTCTTGAAATTTCAACTCAGGATAAATACAAGACAGCAATTCACTCGTACGTTTCGTACCAGGTTGCTGACCACGTATCGCGCTTTAGAGCGCCTCTCGCAGAGCGAATTCAACCTGGACCAGCTGGAGGCGGCGGCCACCGCGGCGCAGACCTCGCACGGAGCTACTCTGCTTGTTCCTGGAGCGGCCGCAGGAGTGCACAGTGCTTCTTTGATCGGACGCAAAGAGCGGAATCACGCGCTGACTGTCCGGGACGTCGAAAGGGAACGTGGGAATCAGTTGTCCAAATACGAGAGGAACATGATGATCTTCAACTGGCTTCACACTCTCGACGACAGCGCGGTCGTAGACAGCGTCGAATAAAGGACAAGGAGAAACAACGTTTTCTCCCGACTCCGACAATGTGCGCGACCTATTGTGCCTAAGTCTCTCCCTTTCTCTGCGCAATACCACTTTAACGAGGACGTTTCATCGATATATACGGTCTCTACTACCGATACTACTCTGTTCACATCTTGGACGATACCGCTAAGGTTCAAGGCTTCTGGTCCTGACTATATTCGATCGTGGCATATAAAGCTACAAATTATACAGATCCTTGTCTCGCGCTGTGCACCGAGATAAACAAGCCACCTCGCGCGCTATCATCATCCGCACTTGACGGAGCAGGCTTTAATCTAATGTTGCATCTCACAAGATACGAGGTGCGATTCGTTCGTACATGCGAAAAGAGTGGAAGATCTCCCGCGCGGTCGTTTTAACATCTGACCTACATATTTATAGAGTTCGCGCTTCCACCGCAGCGTTCCTCGATGATAGATTCTCCGGCCAATTACGCACCGCCGAGAGAACGTCGAGAGACTCTTCTAATGCCATCATCCCAGCTTTTGGTAAAACTTTAGAATAGACCTTTTCCGAATTTTGATATTTATTTGCTACTCTCATGGTCAAAATCTTTGTTATAACTCCGACAGTGATAATCAATCGGGGGAGCCCGAAAAAGATTACCCACTTATTTTTTGAACAATTTTTTTGGTAAATATTCAGAAGTATACTATTATATCAAAAATCATGTTTTCTTGTTCAATAATTTACATAACTAGCTGTAAAAAACCATGTACACAAAGTTTACATATATGTTAAGGGAGGGGGAAGGAGGATTAAGATCTTTATAGGAAAAAAACATGAAAATTTTATTCCATATATTTAAAATTTTAAATATCGATTTTATACGATTAAATACTGTTCGCAGTTGTTACTCGAATCTTTCGCCTTACTAAACAGATGAGCCTACGATATATTAAAAATGGTTACTGAAAAGATTAGCAAAACCCTTACGCAAGGTAGGACGTATCATAAATTACAAGCAAAATAAAACAGAGCATTATTCACAATCATGCTCTGCTTTAGTCAAAAGCACAAATTTATATTATAAAGTCTAAATTATAGCGGAGAATAGATTATGTCTTTGGTTTATTAAAGTTCATTGAGTTTTTTATACTTTTACTCGAAGGAAAAAAAGCACCAAGTTTAAATTTGATGCCTTTTTTCCTTCAGAGTTTTATAAGATCCGAAAAAACTTGAAAAAAATAGGTCGGTAACATTTTTTCCGGGCTCTCCCCACTGATTATCATTGTCGTAGTCACAACAAAGATTTTGATCCAGCAAGTAGCAAAAATATATCAAAATTCGGAAAAGGCCTTATTCTAAAGTTTTACCCAGCCTTTGATCGCGCTGAAAAACCAGGAGCCGTAGGCTAAAGTAACTCTCACGAGATATCCGTCCCTTCTCGTTCAGCGATATCGCAGCTGGTGTCGCCTTGTAATGAGCGTCCAAAACGTCTCGTGTCCAAAACGAAAGCCCGTTTTGTCGACTACGCACGTGGCCGGAGATAGACGTGTACGCTTCGAGATACAGATCTTTAGAAGCAAACCGAAGAGGATCCAAGGACTCGCGCGAGCCAGGATCATTCCCGACGCGATGATACATCTGCATGTGTATTATACTTCTTGAGCGCTAGCGACGACTTGATTCATAGGGACCTTTTCTTTCATATTAACAATCGAATTGGCTAGGCTGAGAAAAGGATGTTTGGAAATGTTTCTGCGCGCGGTGCCGCTGCGTTATGATCTTTTCGTGGAGAATTTCGTATAAGTAGAACTCTCTCTCTCTCTCTCTCTCTCTCTCTCTCTACCCCTCCTCCCACCTTACTCTTTCTTCCTCTCTCTTCTAGAGTTCAATATTCGTAAGTTTGGTTGCCAAGAGGTTTCGGATAGTGTAAATCTAGGCGCTAATGTTAATTCTTAATAACTGAACAGACTCAGTATGTAGCACTATAAGGAAGCTCATACTGAAAAAGGAGGGCGACATATAAGCTAAAAGAGCATATATATCTTACGCATTAAGTACTCGGACACATATCGATGAAGAATCTTTATTCGATATCGAAACGGAGATTGACGGGTCGAGAGATAGGGAGTGTTGTTGTTTTCTACACCAACCAAATTTTAATAATAATTGTAGACCAAAAGTGCGAGTGACGACGAAGCGAGAGAGGAAAATGGCCGGAAATGTTTTTATTTTTATATTCTTGTATTTTTTTCTTCGTAACATGCAAACGTTGTAACTGTTGTATCTATTCGCAATGCAGACGAGTCAACCGTCTCTTTATATTGTTCGCACACGGTACTTTTCCGTTCATTTGTAACTACTTAATGTGCTTGCATTTTATGCACGCACTTTCTGTCTACAATTAGCGTTAACAATACATAAGTCTTGTGGAAAAATCAGTGATGCGAGACATTTAAAGAGCTCTACTTGTGAAATATAAATAGAACAATGATATGTGTGTTGATGCGCGAATCAACATTCCATATGGAAAAAAAAAAAAAAGATAAAACTAGTCATCGGAAATTTCGTTTATTCTGGACGATATATATAGGAAATTTTATGATGTCGGAATAAAACGTTGTTTGGAATGCATACGTAAAGATATTTAATTCCGCGATGTATGTTCCTTAAAAGAAGCCTTAATTGTCCAATATAAACAGCAAATCCAGAGAATTACTTTTTTATATTTTCTGCATGAGGATTATTGGCGACAGATGTGGACATCGATATTATACGCGCCGCAACCACCTGAGATACCCGATTGTCATTGAGATATAAAATGAATGTGTGATCACAATTAATGCGCTTTCATGTATATTGACTGTTCCTTCCAAATGTAATATTCGCCGACATGGTGATACATTGACTATCTGATAGATTACCAAACAAATAAAAGGTTTATTAAATATTCCATATTCACATGCGACCTAGTCTCTATAATCATTCATTAATGTATAATCTGAAGTGAATGCAACAAATGAGAGAAGAACACGTACAGTAGCGAGAAAGCGGCAGTAATTGCGGGACTCTCTTGTTATCAAATCGATTACGCATTGATTCGATGAGACATCTCGTCAATGATTAAACTCTTTATTAGGATTACAAAAGAGAATGGGAAATGATTACAAAAAGCGTGCAGCTGATAACTGAAAATCGTGATTGTTGCAACGCCGAAAATACTTTTGCGCATTTTACAGTAGACCTTGCCTCTTAAGATCTTCGTACGTTTTGCGGTTGACTACATTGCCCAGCGAATCCTCAAATTCTTCTTCCTGCTCCGGCTGCCAACGCTCGGCCTGTTTCTGAGCCTTGAGCTTATCCCACAGAGCAAGAGCATCTTCGATCTGAGTGACATTGGCGAAATGCGCGGTGTTCGGGATGCCGAGACAACGCATGCCATGCGCGTGTCTCCATTCCGCGAAGTGTCTCTGAAATGCCTTCGGACCTTTGTACGTGAAATTACCGCAGATCTCGCAGTTGTAACTAATGTTCAAACCGTGCAGCTTGTACAGCCAATAGGGTATTGGCTTGCCATCCCACCCCAAGGGTAGATTCTTCGGATTGTATGGCACCTCATTGTCGTCTTCCTCTTCCGACTCGCTCGCGCTCGCCTCCGCGTCGGAATCTCCTCTCTCGCCTTCGGTTCTTGCTTGCTTCCTCTGCACGTTTTCTTTCGTGGCTACTCGTTGACCAGACACTAATTCCGCGAGTCTGTACACGTGGGACTCGAGGCGCGCGATCTCCTTTTGCTTCTCGGAATCTCTGCCTTTGGCTGACTTCCCCTTTCGATTCTTAGCCAACAGATTGGGGTCCAAGGAAGCTTCGCCCTTCGTGCTGAAGAGTCTTTGAGCACGTTCCTCGAGCGTACCTCCGCACTTAAGACCCAACGCCATCAGAGCGGACTTCAATCTGTCCAAACCAAGGGATGCTAGTTCTTCCCAAGATGAAAACGCAGACAGCTCCAAGTGTGCTCCTACGTGAGTCAGAGCGCTTCCAGCTTCCTTCGGCCAGCCGGGAAATGTGTTTTTCTCCCAATGATTCTGAAAATCCTTATTGGCTTCTTCGATCTCTGTGCTTACATCCAACAGAGGTCTTACTCTGCTTAGATAATCTGTCAAATATCCTAGCAGAGACTCAACGTATCTTTGATATTCTGCATTCTTTCTTTCTCTGGGAATATCAAATAGATGATCGAATGTTGACAGATAAGTTATGTAGTCAATCTTTTCTATCCCCTTAAGATTAATATATTTCTGGTAACATTCATGAAGATCAAGATATTTTCCATAACCTTCCTCATCTGTAAATTCAACAAGATTGGACAACTCTTCTGTTGGATTCTCTCTCATCTTAGCCAATTCTTCAAATTCGACAGACATAGGAACACTGATTTCATTAGGATGTCGTCGATAGAATTCTTTTATAGACTTCAAACGTGAGTAAAATTCTGAGAATTCATTTGGACCAGAGAGGGCTTGTACCTAAAAATCGTATATACATATATCTATATCACATATATTTTCATAATCTCTATGATAAAGTTTACATTATAAACATTTGTCTTAAAACAATATATTAAAATACCTCTTCCTTTCTCTGTCCATCTTTATCTTCATACAAATCTTGCAAGTGAGTTGTACTGTCTGTATATTGATCGAGTAGCATTTTTAGCCTATGCTCCGAATTGATATTTTCACGATGTCCCGCTTTTTTATGCAACATCTCCTTTACCATTGCATCCATCAATCGCTCCCTCTCTTCATGATATCGTCGTTGCTGCTCCAAAATTGTCTCCATTTCTAACTTGTAACGTAAACTGACTCAAAATATTTCTATTTTGATTTTATAGGTTAGAGCGAACCAAAGCGAACTGTGTACGATCAGAGAGAAGCCTGAGAGCGGGCATGGCTGCATTTACAGCGTTATCGAAAAGTTGGCTGATTCGGAGCGCCAACTGGGTCAATTTTTCATAGACATGAACTACTAAGCCAATGTCCACGATTTGTTGGTACTATTCCGTGCTATGTCCATAATTATTTGGTTCTGTTCTGTGCTATGTTCACGAGCGAGCTAGATTAGTTAGATAAAAACGGAGAATCGGTCTTTGTTTCACCACTAGCGAATAGACAATCACGACGATAAACTGAAGCGAGCCAGCAGCGATAAGACAGACGTCGGCGTCCCCCCTTTCATTCCCTGATTTTCTTTTCACGTTGCTTTATATTCATAATTCAGGAAGAAAATTATTTCGAGAGTTCGGACGATTTCTAGCAATGACGCGACAAAAATAACGTACGGCCACATTAATTTGTCATGATTTATATATTACTTATAATTACATAACCGCATATATGCAAATTATAGATAATTATTGCGCGTATATTTTAATATTGTACAATGGTATATAATAACAACAACTTCATTTTTTGCAGTAATATTTTTAAGATCTTCGTTGAGGTCGTGAATTTATTTTTTTCTTCATCAATCAGTTTTTTGCAAAAAGTAAGATTTTTTAAATAAAATATAAAATGTTTCTCTTTTCTTCTCTCCGAAGAGTTAATTAAAAATGTGTATTCCACAGAGTCAACTAAAAATGTATACTCAGGAGAGTCAATGTACTCCGTGAAAGTGTACTTCGAAAAGTCAATTTAATAACGTATTCCGAAGAGTCAACTTGAAAGCGTACTCTGAAAAATCAAATTGATATTGTAATCCGAAAAGTCAGTTTATAATAGAATATTTATTTCGATGATTCAGCTAAAGAAAAAATATTTATTATTATATCGAGAGAATAATATTGAATTTATTATTTATACTTATCTTACTTACGCTTATCTTCTTTGAACGAAAAATTTAATTTGTTGACTGATTCAGATTCAGATTTGTTAAAATATCTCTTATGCACAACTCTTGAACAGGTAGGTAGTAAAATAATTTTCTTTCTTTACGAATTTTATAAACCTTTCACGAACATAAAAATTGAAAGATTCTCAGAGAACAAATAACTTTTCTTGAACATTTAAACCAAAGGAAAATCTTTTCCCATTAATAAAGAATGAATAATTAATATCTCACACAAGAGGAATCTTTATCCTTGAAGTCACCGGGCGATTTTGCTTTTAGAAAAGTATAATATTGATGTAATAGTAACAAATGCTATCCAAAAACGGTGCAAATCTTAAATGTTTTTGAGAAATGCAATTTGAAGTTAGTATTTTCTGTTAATGTCGTTATAGCAGGAGAATTACCAATTTGCTTCAGTAGCGCAGTGGATCAGGCTTTGTGATATGAACGTAGAGGTTGTTCAAGTGTGTTATTTTTACTATCACAGGGAGAACTATGTAGAATGTATAATAATACGCAGACAAATTCTTTACATAATCATACTTATTTCTTTTAGCATGAATAAAAATGATCAATGCTAACATGATAAGTGTATATCGCAATTGTACGTGTACGTGTACACATACACACACACATACACACGTATACCAATGATGTCAAAACCGAACAATTCGTGAAAATTTTTTATTGATCGCAATTGTACGCAATTGTACACATTTAACACAGCCCAGCAATCGCTACAAATGCTTCGAAGCGTTTTTACTTCCTTCTCTCTCTCTTCACTCGAATCCGGAAAGTAGGAAAAGAAGGAGAAACGCTTCGAGGCATTTGTAGCGGGGGCTGGACCGCACCCATTGTCGTGTTTCTTGATGTTACATTTACTATTTCTAGATGTTAGCATATGAAACATTGTTTATATATTTTTGTATAGAATCGAAAGATACTTAATAATAGAATTAATATCATTGACATAAATCATTCAGAGGGTTTCATGAAGGGAAATAAAAATACGATACACAAAATTATACTCAGTATCTTTATTCATGCTGAAATAAAATTAATTTTGTTAATTTCTGTCTTTCCTTTTTTTCTTTGTCATACATTTTTCCTAGATGATGACATCGTATGTTTACATAACATTCTATAATACTTACAATTAATTGCTTTTTATGATTATTGAATGGTTCCTGAGATAGAATATGATCACTCATGTCTAAAAAGACACAAAGTAATACATATTGTACAACACGGTTTATAATTACAGGTTTTACATTTATTTTAAAAATATCACTTTGATATTGTCTAATAATTCTTTCTACCCATGTACAAACATAAAAAATGTCTTTTGATGGTTTTCCTTTTAACGTGGATGTATTCGTTGTCTTACATACAGATAAAGTTGAATCATCAGCTCTATAACAAACGAATTACAAAATACACGTAAATTTTCCATTAATCATCAATAATTAAACGTTAAAAAATAACTAACATTTTCTTAAAAACAAAAATATCATACCTTGGTGATGTAAATTCCATTTCTTCTTTTTCATTATGAATAGGTTGAACTATATTTGCTGCGTCTGACATTGATGAAAAAAACGAGTCTGGTAAAATAATTGAAGCAGACAAAGACTGTTTTCTTATTCTAAAAAAATGAAAAACAAAATTTATATTATTAATCAAATCAAAATATCTTAAAAATAGTTTCTTAGAACGCATCAATAAGATGTGAAAAATAACTCCAATGCAACACATGTAAAATTGTAAGTTAAATATTTTTCCTTTGGATATATTTTATATTTTACCTATATATATATATATATATATATTTATATATATATTACCTTTTTAAATATGTTTTATTTTCTCCAAAAAATAATAATGGAACTGCATCGTTCTTCAATAATCTACGTCCTTCATTCCATGCTTTAAATTGTAAAGAACTGAAGTGACATGAACAAATCTTACTTTTTTTCTTTATTGTACTTAAATTGCACGCTTCCATCCATAACTTTTTATATTTTTCATTTGTTGGGAAACTAAAATTGTTAATGTTTAGTTAATATAATTTAGTTAATAATAATATAGAGTATCTTACAACATCGACCCGTTAGAGGCATAGAACAAGTAAAGGTTGTTGAATGAGCGTCGAGGCGATTATGCGGAAGCTTCATCTCGATAGGAAGCATGGAATCTACGTGGATTCACGTGGAGTCCACGTCGAATCTATGCTTCAATCTGTGCTTCACATGAATTCGACGTGGATTCCACGTCCCATTCCTATCGAGATGATAGCTGACTTTTTCTCTACTTCTATGTCATTGTATAACTAAAATTTGCTTAATACTTATGAATAAAAAGAAACACTATTTTTCGTACAATACTTCATACCGCAAAGGATACATGTTTCAACCATGGTGAAGTTTTCTTCTTTTTAAGATCTTTTTAAAAGATCAGATCATGTATCCCATCAAGCGCTATCCAATATCTGGCACAACACAGATACCTACATTGCCATGTTTGCAGAAACTATATCATGTTGCGTACAACCAATCAGAATAGTTTATTTAATCCACGCATGCACAAAACATATTTCCGGAGATGAAAAGACAGAGAAGTCCCGAAAAGTACGTTTCTCTGTCTAACCTCCTCCGGACACGATCTGCTATGTATGACCAGTCCATATATATAAGGTCTATATCCTGCTCTACTCCTGCCTGTCTCATACGGTACGAGCAATTTGGAACAATTCAGCTGTGGTACATATTGACGATATGAAGACAATTTTTATTTAAATTTTATTATATATAACTTGTAATTCTATTCAATTATTAATATTAAAATCGCCATTACTAGGTTTTATATAAAAATGAACGTGCCTTTACTGTGGAACTTATTTTTCGATGAAAATGTAAATGATGATGATATTTATTTAGAACTTATTCGTGAGGAACGTATAAAAATACAAATGTACTATGAAAAAGTTGTTATGGCGTACGCACCAGATGGTAAGTGCAATATTTAATTTAATTCCTATTGTTCAATACATAATTAACCATTTCCATTTAGTATAAATGTTCAAGAGACATATAGAAACGTTTGATAGATATTCTATTTTCAAGCTTTAAATGTTTTTAAGATGTCTTAAAAGTGCATTTTATATATTTGTACTTATATTTGTTTGTTATTATATTTATATTATATAGTTTGTTATTATATTTCGTTAATTATTTTTTCTTTTGGCAATCATGATAAGAAGGTACTATAAAGCAAAAAATTAATGGAAAATAGTTTCTTAGTCATAATTAAGTATAAAGGCAATGAAGAGGTAACACACTGTTGTAGAGAGTGGAATGAGTTTAAAACAAAATATTTATCAACATTAAGTGACAAATATTTACAAGTTTACTGTGAAATAATATAAATATTTGTCAAGTAATATAGAGAAACATTTCTTATTTAACATTTCTTATTTAATATTGTAGCAGTATATATTGATTCTTAACTACCTTTATATTTTAATATTGATTAAAAATGTGGAGAACTTTAATTACTTAACTTAATGATAGTCTTTGGTAATAATTCCTGTAATAGCACAGATGTTCAAGGGATGTCCAGAATACATCCTGAGAACAAGCTGAGGATGTTTCTTCATTCTCAAGACATCTTTAGGACGTCTCCAGGAGATCTTGTGCTGTCTCGAATTTGTTCACTTAATATTTTTTATTTTTCATTTATTTACTTAAAATAGTTAAATTAATTAACTTGTTTACTTAATAGTTTGTTTTTTTAATGTTATTTAATATATGAAACATGTATATATAATTAAACATGTGAATATTCTAATATTGAAAAAAAAGCTCTTTTACCAAAAAATTAAGAGAATATAAGATTATACAGATGTTACATACAGCGTAATGAAAGTAATAACGTTATTAGTAATTGTCCTCAGATAGACAAAAGGAAAAATTTATTTATATTACGTATATAAAGTTGTAGTTAATTAATGGTCATTGATTGTATCTTTTCATTAGATTTTCTAATTTGATTATGTTATAATTGAAATTTCCAGATGCATTTACGTGTGACAAGGGCTACATTTGAAAGACTTTTGCAAATTTTTGGACCCTTGTTGCACAATGAGAATATTTAATTGAGAATACCAGTTGAGAAAAAAATTATCATTGCATTATGGTTCCTTGGAAATCAAGAAGTTTTTCGGTAAATATTTTTATTATATTTAATATATATTATAAATTTATATCACTATAAAATTATACAAATATAAAATTAAATAATTAGTAAATTTGAAATATTTTAAAAATATGGAATATATTTTTTTGCACATTTTAAAAAGTGAAGTAAATTTTGTATATGACAGAATTTTTGCTCCAAACGATGATTCTTTTAATTATGAATGATATTTAAAAAAAGCACTTTGCTGTATTTACTATATTATTTTCTAAAAGTAAGATATTAGAATTAAATATATTTGTCCTAAACAAAATTTATTTATTTCAGATCTGTAGCTGATAGATTTGGAGTGTCAAAAGATACCGCATGGAGATCAGTATTTCAATTTGCTGAAATATTAGCAAGAAATGCACAAACTTACATAAAATGGCCTACATTCAATCAAATGAGACAAATTGAAGAGGAATTTTATGCAGGGGCTGGATTTCCTGGAGTGATAGGGGCGATTGACGGCTGCCACATCCAAATCAGTGTTCCTATATAAGATACTTATAGTTACGTTAATCGGAAGGGTTACCATTCTATTTTACTACAGGGTATTTGTGATAGCAGATTAAAGTTTATTGATGTTTTTATTGGCTTATGTGGAAGCGTCCATGATGCAAGAGTTTGGGAATTAAGTGAAATAAAAACATTAGCCGAGGCAAATGATAATAGATATTTCAATGGTTTTTACCATCTCCTAGCAGATAGTGCATACCCATTGTCTAATAGAATGTTAACACCTTACCGGGATAATGGTCATCTTAATCAGATGCAAATAAATTATAATCGGAAACATGCTTACACACGTGTAATAATAGAACGCACTTTCGGAATTTTAACTGGACGGTTTAGAAAATTGAAATATATTTATATGTACTACTGAATTGATTCTGCTTATTGTTTTAACCTACTGTATATTACATAATATCTGTATCGATTTTGAAGGTAATCCAATAGACATAGATGGTATAGATTTAGAAGAAATTAACAATGAAGCTAATAATGTAGACTTGGATGGTAACGTTAAGAGAGACATTATTGCGCATTTATTGTTGTAATTTTTATTAAATATTTATTAATAAAATATGCGATTTAAGTCTTGCGTTTTTAAAGCGTATTATGAACGGAAACATTGATAAATATATTCCTCATATTTAAAGAAATAACATGTTCTGAAATTTAATTCTGTGAAATGCTACCTATTTCTTTTATGTTAACATTACATAAAAATTCATATATATAATAAAACAATTTCTTTTTACTTTTGTATATCTACTTTATATATCATATAAAATATTGATATAATTTAGCTATAATAGTATTTTTATGAAAAATATGATGTCAAGCTTTAATTCCTACTAACTATAACTATTTTATATTCTACAAAGCATAATCAAATAAGAAATGATTACAATCACATAAATCCTTCTTTATTGGTATTAGGAACATACATTTTATTTCCATTAGAAAGAAAATGAAATAAATGCAAAGTAAATGAAATATATTAAATTAAATAGTGTACAATACTTGAATTTTAAATTAGACATTTGTGGTCAATATCATTAGTAATAAACTTAAAAATTAATGCCTTCAGTCTTAACAAAAAAGTTTTTGACAAAGCATCGTTTATGACAAAACTTTTTTTATGTTCTATTACATATTTATTGCACACAACCCATAAAATTGCATTTAATATATTTAATATATTCTGCCCAATACGGTCCTGCTCTAGATCTTTTACGAGCTGGTGGCACTTGGAATTGGACAATTGAACTTCTATTATTTGAAGATTTCTCTTCTACTCTAAATTCGTCATTTTCTGCATCATCCATCACTGATGTATTGTCACCTTCAGCAAGTATTTTACGGATACGAAAGCTACTTATACTTGAAGCCAATGAGACAGGTTCAATTTCAGGTCTTGTCTTCAAAATACTATCGACCATTTCAAAATAAATCCATCGTTGATTAGAGGCACTAGTCCGATTTTTGTTGTCCTTTATTTGGGTATACTTTCTCTTTAAACTTTTCCATTTTGAATAACATTGATCCAGTGTTATATTATAGCCAATACTATTAATTGTAGAACAGATTTCTTTCCAAAATACTTTATGAGGTTGTATATTTAACTGTTTTTTATGCTCCTTTACCTCTGACAACAGTAATGTTGTCATTCTTTCTGTCCATTGCATTTTATCACCTAAACAGAAAAATTAATATTATATAAATAAAATATAATATTCATGGAGATTATCAGTAATATTAAGTAAATACGTACCACATACATTATCATTTAATAAATTATTTTCCATTTTTAATTTGATACTTTTGTACTTCTGCAGAAAAAAAAACCAGAATAATTAAAGATTGGGTTATGAATAAAATTAAATCTATTATCAAAAAACTAAATATGATCACAAATAATATACCAAATGTTACTTCGGTAATAACGATTTTTAATATCAATAATTGAATTACAAATAAAATAAAACTTAAATAAAATAAATAAATAAACTTAAATTAATAAATAGTCTTCGTATCGTCAACACATACCACAGCTCAATTATTCCGAATTGCTCGTACTGTATGAGACAAGCAGGAGTAGAGCAGGATCAGCCATTGAATATATTTGTTGTAGATGGGAGTATATACTACTCTGTCGAATCCAGATCTCACTCGCTCCACTCTCGTTATCGTAAGCACAGACTGCTCCGCCTGTGGAGCACGTCTACGCAGTGACTCACGACGAAAGGTGAGAAATGAAATATACGCGGTGGGACATATTATAATAATACAGACTCAGATGAAATGAATACTTCAGTATTAAATGGAAATGAGGGAACACAGAACAGACAAGAATCATCCGATGTACGTCTTATACTCCGGAGGACATCCGGAAAAGGTAAAATACGAACTTAATTAAGAGAATTAAGTTGCATTACGATAGTTACGATTCTGTTATACATTTATATATGATTTATTGTTCCAGCAACAGCCATCTTCTGTAGCAGAAGCAATGATATTAGATACAGAAGCAGCTGTTATAGCGAATTTTGAATTTTTGGGACATACAGACATGGACATGGAAGAGGAAGAAGGAGATGGAGACGATGAAATTTATGATGCAAATACAGATACCAAACCAAATAAAGTAACGCTAACGTAGGTTACCACTGTGCATCAAAGGGTTAAGGAAGTTTTACTATATTAATTATACGTTCTTCTTTACTATTTGGCAGTTTATTATCCAACTAATACATTTAGACTGGTTGTTTTGTATTTTACCGCTATCTTAGGGATAGAGTAATATAAAAAAATAGTTTAGGACTTATTATTTATTGCAAGTTTTATAAATAAACAAAGAGCAGAAAAACTCATTTTTTTCTGACCTCGGATTCGTGATCAGCGACCCAAAAAACTATTGTATACCAAATTTCATAAATAATGGATCAACCGAAAAATGTATGTTTCGTATACATAAAACATGCTCAAGCCCCAGACAGCATTTGTGTGCCGTTAATGTATGACTAAGGACATTTGGTTCGTACGAGTCGTATGGATCAATGTTAGCCGATGGTAATGTCCAACAATGGATCATGCCATCTAAACTACCGCTGTAACATCGATTGCCCATACTACACATGGCTAGACACAACACAGGTCCAGTGTATGATCTGAATGTGTAAAGTGGTTCTACATCTAACGAAGCTGACCTGAAAGAATATTAAAACATAAAATTATGATATACAGTATCTTTGAAATGAAATGTTGCGGTTTATATTTTATATATTTTCACAGCATTAATCAATATTGGATTTACTTTTTTGCCGGTACAGTCTTATGAAGATTCCACTTCAGTGTGTGATCATCGCTTGCGGTAATAAGAACCGGATCTGCGGGGTGGAAGACGAATGCTCTAACAGCGTCAAAATGCGAACGTAACATATATTTAGCGTTCCATATTTTTCTGAAGGTTTCCTTCGTGGTAGAAACCATCTGTGTCGCAAGAAATAATACGTTAAGAGTGTCAACAAACTGTAACTCTTACATAGCTGAAAAAGCGACTCGACTGAAATACGGGGGAAAATTCTTGGAACTTACATCGTACGATATTTCTGCATCATTGTTAACACATAATTGTTCTAATTCTCCTAATTCCAGCGTGGAGTCATCGTCTTCTTTATTATTTGGGCGTCTTGGATCTTGTTGTAATCCTCTATGTAATAAACCTACAGGCATCATTAGATTATGTGATTATATGTGACAATATTACAAAATATCTATTATGGTAATAGGTTTATATTTTATCTTAAAGTACACGAATAAAAAGGGATTTACTAACCCCTTTGAAGAATTCATTTCCAGATGGATAGAACCAGGTGGCAATTCTTCAATTTCTGTGAGGAGATTTAATTCATTTAATACTCAGATAGCCAAACCTGCGCGAGCAGATTTCGAATAAAGCCTGCTATCATAGTTTGATGGCAAATAGGCAACAAATTTAACGCAGAATCTGTTATATCAAATTATGCCATCAATCTGCGGTCAAATATGCGCCAGATTCTGTTGTCAGATATTTGACGGCAGATTTGTAGCAAAAACCGCGCAAGACTTGCAGTAATTTGACGGCAGATTGGCGACAGAAACTGAGCAAACTCTACGCGCAGACTCTACGTGTAGTTTGGCAGCAGGACCTGCGCGGTTTCTGCCGACAATCTGCTCGCACGGCCTGTCATACAGGTCCTGTCGACAAAACACGAGCCTAATGAGGACACAGATGGCTATGGTTTTGATCTGGAGATCTGGTCGAAATTGGCGTCAATCTGCGCGCATTCTGTTAGTATTTTGCTTACTGGGTACTTCTGCCTCTGCATCTGTATCAACATCTTCCGCTAGAAGGGGGATAGATGCCTGAAAAATAAGAAATTATGTTAACAAATAGCGTGAACAATATCATTAAAACGCAAGATGATAGTAAGCGTTACTTTATTTGGTTTGGTATCTGTATTTGCATCATAAATTTCATCGTCTCCATCTCTTTCTTCCTCTTCCATGTCCATGTCTGTATGTCCCAAAAATTCAAAATTCGCTATAACAGCTGCTTCTGTATCTAATATCATTACTTTTACTATAGAAGATGGCTGTTGCTGGAACAATAAATCATATATAAATGTATAACAGAATCGTAACTACCCAGATAGCCAAACCTGTGCGAGCAGATTTCGAGCAAAGCCTGCTATCATAGTTTGATGGCAAATAGGCAACAAATTTAACGTAGAATCTGTTATATCAAATTATGCCACCAATCTGCGGTCAAATATGCGTCAGATCCTGGTATCGGATATTTGACTGCAGATTTGTAGCAAAAGCTGCGCAAAACTTGCAGTAATTTGACGGCAGATTGGCGGCAGAAACCGAGCAAACTCTGCGCTCAGACTTGATTAGATGCACTCAGAGTAGATGGGCAGAAGGACCTGCGCGGTTTCTGCCGACAATCTGCTCGCACGGCCTGTCACGCAAGTCCTGTCGACAAAACACGAGCCTAAAGAGGACACAGATGGCTATGGTTTTGATGTGGAGATCTGATCGAAATTGGCGTCAATCTGCGCGCATTCTGCTAGCATTTTGCTTACTGGGTATCGTAATGCAGCTTAATTCTCTTAATTAAGTTCGTATTATACCTTTTCCGGATGTCCTCCGGAGTATAAGACTTACATCGGATGATTCTTGTCTGTTCTGTGTTCCCTCATTTCCATTTAATACTGGAGTATTCATTTCATCTGAGTCTGTATTATTATAATATGTCTCACCGCGTATATTTCATTTCTCGCCTTTCGTCGTGAGTCACTGCGCAGGCGTGCTCCACAGGCGGAGCAGTGACTCTCATTCTTCTCGAGTCGGGATGCGTTCCGAAAGTTGCAAAAAAACTGTCACAAACCTTTATGCTCGCGAGTGTACGGTATTTAGCATAATCGCTCATTAAATGTTCATATCCGTTTCTAATATGGTCAATTAAAGCTAAATTTAAGTTTATACTCTCTGTAGATAAAATCTGAAACCTAGAATAAAGATTAATCAACGTTGGTGAGAAACGGGTATCTGGCTGCGTTCAGCAGAACAAAGTGATCAGTGAGCGTTTAGTGATTCTCGCTCCTGATTGGTAAATACTTCTGGGTCTATGAAGAATCTAAAAGAATGCTCAAATCACAGACAATAATCACTAAGCGCTCACTGATCATTTTGTTCTACTGAACGCAGCCAATGAGCGCTCAATTAGCACCCTAAGTTAATTTACTAGATGCAAAACTCCCTAACTATTTACAGTGAGCGCTCACCATATTTGTGAGCGTAGTTTTACATCGCTCATTTCGCTCACTCAGCTCACTTTAAGATCATTCTACTAGAGATGGGCGATACAACCCAAAAGTATCGATACATCGTATCGATACGTATTGTGGATAAAAATATCGATACACAAAAAATATTATATCAAACTTTCTGTATCGATATCATCAATATCAATACTTAAATTACTCAAAGATATTGGATAAAAAGTATACTATGCACGTTATATGAATGTAATTATTTAAATGGCACACACACACACACACATGTATTTATTACAATGTTTATATAATTACGCTAACATTATTTTTTAATTAAAGACACATTTATTTAAATGAAATTTTTTGATTTGTGAAATAAACGATGTTATTGACATACATGTTAAAAGTGCACACACACATGACTTATAATACCTTAGAATTATTTTATAAATGCCAATCGCTGAGATCGAGGGAATGTAAAAATAGCAATTGATTTAGGTGATCACTTGTCAACCTATTTCGTTCTTCAGTCATTATTTTACCTGCTTCGGAAAATAGTCTTTCAGAAGGAACTGAAGTGGCAATTAATGATTGATATTTAATTGCTAAGGCGCTTAGAGGCGAATCTCGGGCTATGCTCCAATATTTGATAATATTATCTTCCATTTTTATAGGTTGATTTAAATAATAACGAAAATCTTCTGACATTTGGTCAGGATCTTGATTAAAAACCTGTCTAGATATATTTAAATTTACAAGATTTTCATGATAAGACCAAAAGTTTGCTTCATCGTTATTATCTGAATTTTTTCGTTGACGTTGACATTCAAGATTGGTATTTATAACTCTGGAATTTATAAATCTTGTAATTTTGTTAATAGCCTGTGAGCAAGCAATTTTATCAATAAAATTAATATTTTTAAACCGGGGATCTAAAATTGTAACTATAGCTAATAATAATACTTGTTCCAAACTTTCAAATCGTTTCATAAATTGATCTATTAACGCCTTTTTAAAATGATGCCCTATATCGGTATCAGGTTCAAATGCCTGTAATTTATTTCTTAAAATATTAACAATTGGAATTACTTTACTCGCAGTGAGATAGTGTTCGCCGCATATGATTTTTGTTGCATCTTTAAATGGTTCCAACAGCTGAACAAATTCTTTGGCCGATTGCAACTCCGAGACAGATAGCATCGGAGGAGCCGTAGGATACTGCAAAATAATGCAGCTAATTTTTTCCGACAATTCTATAAACCTCTCTAGCATACTATGTGTAGAATTTCAACGTGTTTCGACACTTTGAATTAATTTTAAGTCCGAATGAAGTCGTAATTGGTCTGCAGCAATAACTGATTTTTTAAAAAATGTGACAATATTTTTTATTTTTGCACAGAAATCTTTTACGACATCATTTTCATCAATTATTTTTGCTAGAACTAAGTTTAAAGTATGCGCGAAGCATGGCAAATGCTTGTCACCGCCATCATCGTGAAGACATCAACAATAGCCTCTTTTATATTGGCACCATTATCTGACACAACAACTACAATACTTTCAATGTTTATATTCCATTTGTTAATTAAACTTAGTAACCAACTTTTTAAATATTCGGACTGATGTCTGTCCATCAGTTCAACAACGCCAATTGTAACATTTTTATGTCTTTTATGTTGTTCATTTACTAAGAAGTGTGCCGTTAAACCCAAAAAACTTTTTGTATTTAACGATTCGGTCCAAATATCCGTAGTTAAAGATAAATACTTTACTTTTGAAAGTTGTGCTTTCGTCATATCTGATAAAAGTTCGTATTTCTCTTGTATAAGATGAGTTATAGTTTTCCTACTAGGGATCTTGTATAACGGCAATATTGTATTCATAAAGGTTTGGAAACCCACCTTTTCAACAACACAAAATAGCAAGTTATCTTTAGCAATCATAAATAGCAGTTTATTTGTCACATCCGCAGCTCTGGAGCCTCCATCTAAAAAATTAAAAATAATATAACAATATAATTTTTTAAATATATCTACTGATTGAAGTAATGCTACCCGATAATGTGAATAAAAATTTGTATATATTTGAGAAAATTGTAAAAAATAAATATTAAAAAACACAAAAACTAAATATATTTAAATTGACTAAAACAATATTTTGAAAAGAAACACTTACGAAAATGATAGATACTTCTAATACAATATCAATAAATTATATGATTATAGCGGTTTCGACTGGACCAAATCCAACCCGGGTTAGAGCGATTAGCTCCAATCTACAATAGATGTCGCAAGTCGTAACCAGAGAACTGACCAATCACAATCTAGTAATTGACTTGTGGATAGGACCTAATCGCTCTAACCTGGGTTGGATTCGGTTCAGTCGAAAACGCTATTAATTATTTGTTCGAAAAAAATTTTTCGAAACATGATTGAATAATTACAACTTCCATACCTTGATACGACTTTTGTTTTTCAAATGCTAAGTCAATTCTAAGTTGTTTCGAAACAGGACTTGGTGAAATCGATACTGATCGCGTTTCTGAATTAATTGATGACGTAGAGCAGAGCTAGAGACTAAGTGCCCTTTTCGGCCGGATTTCAAGCTGTGACACCCACCGTTCCCTTTCCACCGCTCCGCGCTCAGCGGCCGATGCGAAGGTCGCGGATCGCTCAAGCCCGTCGCTACGTAAGATGTCAGCTGGAGCGTACCTTCGTGTTTTATTATAATTATAATTTTTTCCTCTCTTAATAATCGCTTTAAAATATATATGTTTATGTGTTTTATACACACATACATATACAGAGTGTTTGATAGCTAATCATGCAGACGAAAGTTGGAGATAGATTGGGTGTAGCCGAGAAGAAAAGTCATGCACCATAATGTCAAATTGCCAATAGTTACCGAGTTATTAATTAAAACATGTGAGCCAATGAGCGCGTAGAGAGCGGAGGGCGGCCGTAGTAAGCACGTAGACATTTGATATAGGCGGAGTCAGTGAATGGCGGTAGGCGAGCGCGCGTGGCGAGAGGCAACGTAAGCGATAAGAGGCGATCGCGCGCGACGAGCAGCGAGCGAGCTTTTTCTTTATAGCTTTTTCCTTATAGCTCGCTCGCTCCTCGTCGTTCGCTCTCGCTCGCTCTTCGTCGCGCTCGCTCGGCTTTTGTCGCTTGCGCTCGCTCACTCCTCGTCGTTCGCGCTCACTCGTTCCTCGTTGTGCGCGCTCGTCTCTTGTCGTTTACGTTGCCTCTCGCCGCGTGCGCTCGCCTACCGCCACTCACTGACTCTGCCTGTATCAAATGTCTACGTGTTTACTGCGGTCGCCCTCCGTTCTCTACGCGCTCGTTGGCTCACATGTTTTAATTAATAACTCGATAACTATTGGCAATTTGACATTATGGTACATGACTTTTCTTCTCGGCTATACCCAATCTATCTCCAACTTTCGTCTGCATGATCAGCTATCAAACACCCTGTATATATTAGGAGCGCAAAAAAGTTCTGAGCCTTTTTTGGCAAAATTCAAAATTTATTTAAAAACAAACAAAACTATATTAATCAACGAAATATTCCCCGTTTGCATCGATGACCTTTTGCCATCTTTCGGGCAGCTTGCGAATTCCCTGATGGTAGAAGCTCACCGGCTTCGAGGCGATAAAGTCATCAATGCATTTTCATATCTCTTCAAGTATCACAAAATGTGTATCAGCCAAGAAATGCTGCAGAGACCGGAATAGGTAGTAATCGGAAGGCGCCATGTCTGGGCTATACGCCGCGTGCGGGAGAAGTTCCCAGCCTAACGCAAAGATATGGTCCTGAGTCACTTTCGCAACATGTGGTCAGGCATTGTCATGAAGCAGTATCACTTTACGACGTCCTTTGCCAGTAAATGGCCTCTTTTCTTCAAACGCATCGCTCAAATTGCTCAATTGTTGCTGATAGCGATCTGCCGTTACTGTTTCACCCGGCTGTAACAACTCGTAATACAATACACCTTTCCAATCCCACCATATGCAAAGCAAAACCTTCTTGGCGTGGATATTGGTCTTTGGCGTCGATGTCGAAGGTTGACCAGGGTCAACCCATGATTTTTTACGCTTCGGATTATCATAAAGTATCCACTTTTCATCACCTGTAATGATTTGGTGCAGAAAATCTTTTTTCCGGAACCTTGAAAGCAAAGTGAGTGCCGTGTCACGCCGTCGATTTTTGTTGTCTTCGGACAGTGTATGCGGAACCCATCTGCCTTCCTTTTGAACTTTTCCCATTGCATGTAAACGTGTGGAAATGGCTTGTCGCGTAACGCCAAGTTGCTCTGCAAGCTCCTTTTCAGTTTGTGCAGAGTTTATATCCAACAATGCTTGCAGTTCGTCCGTTTCAATCTTTTGAGGGCATCCAGCACGCGGTTCATCTTCAAGACTGAAATCTCCTTGGCGAAATTTTTGATACCACCTTTTACACATAGCATAACTTACAGCGTTCTTTCCATATGCAACACAGATCATTTCAGTGGCTTCAGCAGCATTTTTCTTCAGATGAAACGCGAAGTGGATGGAAAATCGAATATGCTCTTTTGTTATTGCCATCGTGAACACTGCTGATTTTAAGGTTATGTGCATCAAACGCCAAATCGCACGATGTTTCGAAAGACCAAATGTCACTGCTTTAAAACCGCAAGAGGGTGGGAAAATTAATGCAATTTAAATTGTGGTTTCAGTAGTATGAAATCTAGGGCTCAGAACTTTTTTGCGCTCCTAATATATACAGGGTGTTATAAAAGTCCCGGAAGAGCAGAATAAATCGAAAAATATGAGTCTTAGAAAAAATGCGAAGTACTAGGTTTTTATGATTTTTTCCTGGCTATCTGATAGTGACCTCGGATTTAACCTTGATAATGACCTTGAAGGTTATTTCAAGGTCAGGTCAATTGTTTTAAATGGGACTCCATACTTTTGACCCCAGAAATGAAAAGAGCGGAAAATTTTACGTTCGGATGTGACCCTGAATACTGCCAAATTTGACCTCTGAAGGTCATATAAAGGTCTAAGCTTGTTCTAGGCTGAAAACGCGAATATCTTCGAAAATGCACCTGCTAGGGAGCAATGTTACGCATAAGAATAAGAATGTAGAGGTCAACGAGGGACATTCAGCCGTGACCTTGCCCTTATTCTCAAGGTCATGAGTTAAGATTATTATTATTAATCAAACCGGACTCTTTTAGGACTGAAAATACATACTTTTGACCTAAAAGTGTCAAGATTGAAAAATTGTACGTCGAATATAACATTTTCAACCTTGACCTTGTTCTCAAAATTATGCGTTTTACGTTACTTCACTGATCGTGAAGTCTATTGAAAGTAAAACGTCTGGGAACCCGACCACTGAAGGCAAAGTGTCTCAAACCCGACCACTGAAAGCAAGGTGTCTCAAACCCGGCCACTTAAGGCAAAGTGTCTCAAACCCGACTATTGAAGGCAAGGTGTCTCCAACCCGGCCACTTAAGGTAAAGTGTCTCAAACTCGACCACTGAAGGCAAGGTGTCTCAAACCCGACCACTGAAGACAAAGTTCAGTTAGTCTCGGCCACCGAGGGCAAAGCATCTTGTAACTTGGTCTGAGATTACAAGAGATGTTCAAAATGTTCCCCATTGACCGTTTGACAGTATGCTAAGCGGACGTACAAATTGTCAGTCGCACTCCTTATCATTTCTGGAGATATTGCAGCACATTCGTCTATGATCCGTTATTGAAGCTCATCCAGGTTACGAGGTTTAGTGAAATAAACTTTATTTTCTATATAGCCCCAAAGAAAGAAATCAAGTGGTGCAATGTCGGGCGATCTCGGTAGCCATTCGATTGTTCCTCTTCTACCTATCCATCGATTAGGGAAAGTATCGTTTAAATAGTTCCGAACAATGTGTCCATAATGTGGTGGTGCCCCATCTTGCTGGAACCAAACATCATAAAAATTATCACCAACAATCTCCTGTACAATTTGGTCTGTTAGAAGCTGCAGATAAGTTTCTGAGTTCAAATTCCCATTTATAAAAAAGGGCCCAACCACTTGATTATCATAAAGACCTGCCCAAACATTCAATTTTTGAGGTCGCTGCGTATGTGCTTCAAGCATCCAATGAGGATTTTCGTTGTCCCAATATCTAAAATTATGACGGTTTACCTTACCAGTAATTTCAAAAAACGCTTCGTCTGAAAAAATGATATTATGCAAAAAGTTCGGTTGCTGATCAATTCTTTGCATCATAACTTCTGAAA